GAAACGGCATCAACCTTGCGGTAGGTAAGGGGAAACAGCGTTTGGTGGGCTCTTCCCGCGTACTCGGTACCAAGCCGGCGGACACTAGTCATATGGCTCAAGCAGTTGACTAACCGAAATTCCCATCTCGTACCGTTGAAGAGTCCAGAACATCACCTAGCTTAAGCTGCGTCACATCCGTGCAAGCCGAGCCAGAAACGCGGGGTCGGAGAATATCCTGCATATTCCACCTCCTGACAAGCCCCTGGACCAGGCTTATCAAGCGTGGGTTACTGCTTTCGTCACATTCCCATTCGTCAATGACACGGGAGTGGACTGGGAGTCTGGGGTAGTCGAGATAGGGGTATCGCCTGGTCAAGGTCAAGGGCTGTTGTCCCCCACTCTCGAGATAGATCCACCAGCTACCCCAACATCGGGTGCTCCCAGCCTCCACTTCCACTCCCGGGGGATGGGGAATCGTGAGCTAGCACGGAATGGATCTACGGAATGATCTCTAGATGTCGAACAGATTCAACCTTTTGTGGAGTGGTTGTGGCTTTGTAGCTCAGATTCAAGCCTCAGCTCAACTGCTCAAAACCCGGCTTCTCCGACGGTCTTGACTGGCTTAATACGGCACAACCATTTCAGGACATCTAACTGAGATTGGTAGAGATAACCATCGTTCGATCTTTCACTCATACCTAGTCATCAACTACCAATATGCCTAAAGCCACCACCCCTCCCCCGGTCTATGCCGCCCTCAAGGACACGGCCCTCTTTACCCCCTTGAAGCTTGGAGGCCTGAGCCTTCAGCACCGTATTGTTCAGGTACGTCGACTATCATCAACTGCGATTATTGTCCATCTCACTGACGTATTCAAAGGCACCATGCACCCGCATGCGCAGCGAGTTTGAGTCTCGCGGAGTTCATGTCCCGGGTTCCCGAGTGGTCCAGTACTACGGTGCGCGCGCCAGTGCCGGCGGTCTCCAGATCACCGAGGCCACCGACATCTGCCTCAATGCCAGTGCTTACCCTGGCGTGGCGGGTGTCTTCACAGACTCTCAACTGCAAGGCTGGAAGAAGGTGACGGACGCAGTCCACGCTAAGGGTGGCTTCATCTATGTTCAGCTGTGGCACACTGGCAGAGCCTCATCCGCTGGCATGCGCGGAGGCGAGACTCCCATCTCATCGGGAACCCAGCCCATGGATGGAAAGTACCTTGACGGCACTGAGTGCAAGGATGGACCCCCGAGGGCAATGACTGTGGACGAGATCAAGGCTCTGACTGCTGAGTGGGCAGCTGCGTCCAAGCGTGCTGTGGAGGTGGCTGGCTTTGATGGTGTCGAGATCCACGGTATGATGCAGCGTCTAGTAAGAACTTGAAGATGTACTAATGAGGGCAATAGGAGCGAACGGTTACCTTCTTGAGCAGTTCCTCCACGACAACATCAACACCCGCACGGACGCCTACGGCGGCTCCATCGAGAACCGTTCAAGATTCCTGCTCGAGGTTGTCGAGGCGGTTGCCGCCGCTATCGGCCCTGAGAAGGTTGGCCTTCGCCTCTCGCCTTACAACTACTTCCAAGGCACCAAGGACAGTGACCCCAACAAGCACTGGGCCTACATCTCAGAGCGCCTGGCTGGGCTTCCTGAGAGCCAAAGACCTGCCTACGTCCACATGTAAGCTTCTCGATTGTCAATCATATGAACCAACGGATGCTGACACCATGTCCAGGATCGAGCCCCGCTTCGACGAGGTTCTCGACGAGGAGCAGAAGCTGGCTTCTCTCGGCAAGCAGAGCAACAACCTGACTCAGTTCAGGGACATCCTCAAGCCCGCCGGTATCCACTTCCTCACTGCGGGCAACTTCAACAGAGACAACGCGCCGACGAAGGTGAAGAGCGGAGAGGCCGACGCGATTGTCTTTGGCAGACACTTCATTGCCAACCCCGATCTTGTGGAGCGGTTGAAGAGCGGCTATGCCCTCAACCCTTACGATCGGACCACATTCTACGGCGCGGAGCCCCCTGAGAAGGGTTACAATGATTACGAGTTTTACAGGGTCGATAATGCGGAGGTCACGGCGCAGGCATAAACGGTTTGAGAGTTTACGGGGGTCAAAAAGACCACACCATTAGTCGTAAAGCGACGCATCATGATGATAGAATATGCATTGAGAAAATACAGAAAAGTTCAAGTTACTTTTAACCACACTGCCTTGTCAACAGCACTTGCATGTTTTCCTCAAACGTCTTAGTAATTGGCCTCAATGTTATCGAGCCAAAATGAGTTGCGGTAGTCAAGAAACTTGAAGAGCACTCACACGAAGGGAAGAATGCCATCATTACCGTACACTTTGGGTGGTCTTCCTCATCTTAAGGCGCGATGAAGCTGAAGCTGAAAGACCATTTGGATAGCATCTGTAAATGATCAGTTCGCTACGTATTTATTGTGATGGAGCACGGCGTTGACTTTGAGAGGCAGCCCCACTCTCAACGAAAAGACGATGCATGCACGGGTTGGGAATCAATGTTCGGAGAAATTACGTTGTATTCTAAAAGTGCAAGACCTTACAGACTCGCTCTAGGTGTATGCTCGCTCTGTGGTGCAGCTCCAACTGGAGCGGACGGCCACTTTGACTCAATGTCCTTCCACATGTCATAGGTCAGCAGCCATCTGCCGACACCGTGGTACCTCCAAGGGAACGGGTCCTCCCCTGTCTCCTGAGATTCGGGCAGAACAGGCGACTCTCCGCTCAACCACTTATCATCCATCTCACCAAATTGTGTAAACTTTGCGTCGCGGTCAACCTGTTCCTCTCCGTCATGCAAGTGATACATCCACTGGTTGTATGTGCCGCGGCGCACGACCTTCTCCGTCCTTTCCCGACGGCAATCCTCATAGATCTTCAAAGCTTGCTTCTTTCCCGCGGCTGACTTGTCAGTCAAGCGAGCAAGGCACAGGCCGAGAACACCACCGTCCTCAAGTGCCATGCCAGCACCACTAGCAAGGTACGGCAAAGTAGCGTGGACGGCATCTCCGAGCATGGTGAATGCACCGGATGGGTGCGACCACGTTGGGTCGAGACCGGGCCTGATGCAAAGCCTCCACTTGAGAACCTCGTCGCACATCAGCAACATTTTGCTAATGCGGGGGTCCCACCCGTCGTAGTGCGCTCGCATCTCCTCGATGTTGCCTTTGAGGGTGTTTCCTCCGTCGACGGGCATGTCGTCGGGGACCAGAAGAACCATGTTGAACAGCTTGCCACCCTTAAGAACGTAGTTGACGGCGTGCTTGTCAGGGCCAACCCAGTAGTTGACCTGAGGGTTCTCGACGAAGTGCCGCAGCTCGGGATCCTTGAGCATATCGGCAGTATTCAGGAGAAGCCGATATGCCAAGTCGCCGGTAAGCTGGGGCGGGTCGGACTTGCCGAGGAACTGCTCTCTAAGGTTGGAAGCGATGCCGTCTGCTCCAACAATGAGGTCGGCAGTCATGGTCCTTCCGTCCGCCAAAAACACGGTTGATGACATCTGGTCTTCAGACACAGTAAATGTTTCGACCTTGGCGTTTGTGACTAGTTCGGCTCCCAACTCAACGGCGCGCTCAAGGAGGCATCGGTGGAGATCGGATCGATGAAAGTCCCAAAAGGGAAAGCCACCTGCTGCCGCAGCGTACTTGTGGTAGTCCATGTCACCCAAGAAGTTGCCCTTCCAGCCGATGAAGTTGCACTTCTGGGGCTTGGTCGCATACTTCTCCAGCTTCTCTTCCAAGCCCCAGGAGAACAGTACGCGGGCTGCATTAGGCAAGACTTGGATACCAGCGCCGACCTCGCCGATGGCTGGCGCAGATTCGAGGACTGTCACTTCATGCCCGGCCAGCAACGTTGCGATAGCCGCTCCTAGGCCGCCAAGACCAGCGCCGACGATGATGACCTATTTGCGTACTTAGCTATTGTCTACGATGCTAGGATTCCATCATGCTTGGGCATAGAAGAGAAAGGGGGCATTGTCACTCACATGTAACCTGCTACTGGCATCTCGCTGGATCTTTTCTTGAATGATGTAACTCCTTGCTGATGCCATGATGTTGACTAGACTTGAATACAACACCAAATAAGTTCAGGCGCAGTTCAAAAGATGAGCTCTCGTTTACTCAGCAGTTGAGCAGATGAGACGATGCGGCTGGTATGGGGGCCCAAGAGTTGACCCAATGACCGAATGCTTGTCTGCGTGCATAAATATGATCAAGGCCCGGGAGAACCTCCTCCGCAAAGACGCAGAGCGGCGAACATGTGGACGCTCATGTGCCTCATTACCCTACACATCATTATCCTAAGAGTGGAATTGACCGCATCATGGACACCACCTCGACTCAATCCGATGGTCGCACATAGCTTTGTCACGAATGCCGAGTCTGCGCCGTGCACAAGTTGACCCCCCTCCGGCTACCCATCTCCGAGTTCTCCTTGGTCTTTCGTAGAGTCACTGGTATCTCCAAACTATCAGACGTCCGCTCCAATAAGATAAGACGCGCCCGCATTTGGAGTCTATCATACAAGCGTGGCCCCCGAAGTCGCGTTACCCCACTCTTATCTCTCGGGCGAGCTGTCCTGGGGTGGGATCGCGGAGAACCAATGTCTTATCAGGAGTGGCGTAAGTGGGGGAGGGGCATGCCGGCCATCGCACTCCGTCAGCCTGCGAATATCTCGCACTCCTATCAATATCCTCGTAGCAGATACGGGTTGCGACGCTACACAATATGCAAGATACCGCAACCGCGCAGCGCCGAGAGAGCCAGAATGCGGAGAAGTGGAACCGATCCTACGGCGTCGCACGGCCTATGACCCTCCCCATTCCCCCATCTCCGACGATATGATCCAATTCACAACCCAGATCGTCCTATGCGCACATCCAGCTTTCTTTCCCAGCCTTCAGCAACCTGGCTGAGACTTCTCTACATCCTGTCAGGGGTGAAGAAATTGCACTGTACTCGGAAGTGGATGACCCCCATTGGACAACCATGAGCGACTCCCAGACCGCTATGGCGGGCAGCGCCAGCTATCGTCACAACAGCGAGAGCTCGGACGGTTACCCAGGTGAAGAGAAGACGTTCACCTGCTCTCACCCGGGCTGTAGCAAACGGTTCACTCGGGCTGAGCATATGCAACGCCATGCTCTCAATCATCAGCCTGGTGGTTTGAGTTGCGATATTTGCAGCGCTCACTTCAAGCGCCCTGATCTGTTGAGTAAGTTGTAGTAAACGCCTGAATCACTAAGTACACCGCTTGATTCAGTGAGTTTCCTGACATGATGATAACTAACATGAGTAGAACGGCATATGGACCGTCACCGTCAAAAAGATCTCGAAGCAGGTGGACCAGGTTTTGGTGTTTTGGACACCAGGAAAAGATCTTGGAAAGCACCAGACGGCTCTGTTGTTGAAAAAAGACCCTGTCCGTACCCTCCAGGCCGGGGTAGGACTTCAGGACGCGCACGCCCTCAAACCACCCAAGTACCTTCACCGGAACCGGAGCCTACCGACGGAGACCAAAGTGTCTCTTCTTTTGACGCAACTGGAGAACAAGACTTCTCAGTTGGGAGTATTTCACCGGATATCCACAGGCGTCACACGGTTGATCTACGACCTGCGAGCTTTGACTCAAACCATTCTTACCCCTTTGATCGTGGCAACCTATTCGCCACGTCAGAGACCGTCAACGATTTTGCTGGTTTCCCTCCAGCGCTGCAATTTCACGATTTCGGAGCATCCGACAACCAGTTCGACCTGGATGCCAATCAGCCTATCAACTGGGGCGACCCATTCTCAAGCGAGCATCTGGACTATGACCAGATCTTCCAGCCGGATACTGCCAGCTCGTTTAATATGCCTTATACCACCGCCTTAGACTACAACTGGCTTTTTAACATGCAAGAGGCTGCTGGCCCCATGATTACATCCAAAACATCAACCCAGGAGTACAATACTCAACTACCAGAGAACCCGTCGACTGCGCGGACACAGACCAACATTGCAATCACGCCTGAGTCTATGAAGAGCGCTCAGCTTTGGAACGACCCCATGGACGTCGCACCAACCGACAACAGTGGCCAAGATAACCCGCCAAGTTATAATACCGTTATACAATCTGCTCCACAAGAGCTACCGCCGAGGGAGCCTCCAAAGAGACCTGCACCACGCAGCTCTGCGGAGAGAAACTCGGACATGAACTCCGCACGGCGCGCCGCCGAAGCGTCAGGACCGACCCGAAAGCGGTATACAGCAGTCAGTCGACCTGCTCCAATTTTGGAGCCAGAGCGACCACTCTCATCTCTCAGGAAGCCTCTCAATACCCCGACTATTGATGAGAAGATTCGAGAGAGACTTCTAAATACCGCCGATGCAGCCAAGCCCTGTCTTCCCGATCAGCGTTATACCATCTGGGAGCACCCCCTGTTATCCGTTGACTCTCTCAACTCCTATCTTCACCTGTTCTTTACTCGCTTCAATACGGCCTATCCTCTGATGCACCTCGAAACGTTCAATTGTGCAGACACCGAGCCGCTTCTTCTCCTCTCCATACTTCTACTGGGAGCGACTTACTCGAGCAAGGATTGCCACCAACTGGCCGTCTGCATACATGATGTAATCAGACCAAGCATCTTTGCGCATGCTGGCTTCTCTCCCAGGCCTGAGCTGTGGACATTGCAAACTATTCTGCTGGTGGAATGCTTCGGAAAGTCTCGTGCGGGACAGAAGCAGCATGATATGAGCCACCTGTTCCATGGTCTCTTGATCAATCTTATCAGACGTTCTGACTGCCAATCTGTGAGGCCGCCTGGTCCACCACCTGTTGGTGGAGATGAGAGTGCCGGGTCTTTGGATAAGCTGTGGAAGAAGTGGGCCGAGGCCGAGCAGAAGAAGAGGTCAGTTTTACTCAAAGCACCTTGCCAGCGAAAGTGACTAACTCAGTAGCAGGCTTGCTTTACTTTGTTTCATGTGGGATACGCAGCACGCAGTGCTCTTCTGCCAGAGCCTCTGTATGTCAGCTTTTGAGCTTCGCCTCGAGCTTCCCTGTAACCAGAGCATTTGGGAGGCAAGAGATGCGACGGAGTGGGTATCTGCATGGCGATCCAGCATCAGTGACCAGAGAACTTTCTACCTCCCTGTTCTGAAGGCGTATCTTATGCCATCTGGTCCAAGAACCCACGGCCTCAGTGGCTTCTCTCGCATTCTCGTGCTCCACGGCCTGATGTCCGTCGCCTGGGATATGGGGCGTCGTGATCAGACTGCCCTCGGCGTTATCTCCGGAGAGAGTCCGGGTCCAGGTTCCGGATGGCGCAAGACACTGAGCTCGGGCTATGATGCTTGGAGGAGCGACTTCGACTGGTACTGCAATAACTTCTTCGCCCAAATGCCACGGGGGCCACCGTCACCAGATGATGATGTTCGGAAGATGGAGTTTGAATCCTTTACGGCGGCGTACAAGGCCCTGTATCACTCTGCCCAGGCGCTGCTGAACATGGACTTCTTGGATGTGCAGATTTATGCAGGTGCGAGACACATACTCGGCAGACCAGTGCAACAGAAGGATTACATGCGGTCCGCGCAGGTCGTCAAGAGATGGGCTTCCGCAACGAATAATGGCCCAGGTGAGGCGCAGGGCTCAAGACCAGGAGAATCCTCTGCAGCAACCCCGTCAGACCAGAGCGTGGGGCAGAAGCAGTCTGCCACAGCGGCCGCATGGCATGCAGCGCAAATGTTGCGAGAGACCAAGAAGACGCTGAGCGGCACGGAGGCGATGAACCTCTTCCACGTTCCATGGTGTCTTTATCTGGCGACGTTGACGTGCTGGGCGTTCCATCATGCGCGGCCGAACAGGAACTACGGCGTACCTTCGCGCAGAAACTTTGACGCGATGGGAGAGTTTGACGAGGATGAGGACTGCGAGGAAGACGAGATGATTTGGGACCCGCAGGGCGAGATGGACGCGTTGATCTCGAGTATGTCAGAGCGGGTGGAGCGTAATGATGCTACGTTAAGGAGGGAGAAGAGGCGGACCAATGGCCTGGTGTGGATTATGGCGGATATCCTGACGACGGTTAGATGGGGGATCGTGCATGCGGGCGTTGTTGTGCTGAGGGGGCTTGTGCCTCAGCGGCTGATTAACCAGTATGAGGAGGCTATCTAACGATATCAAAATGATGAAATGAACAAAGTAGACCTCGTTGAGGGCAGTCATGATCTCATATCTTCTCATTTTCATGAAGCGATGCACGCTAGCGATCGTCGATTCGTGAGCGGTACTTTATGAACTTGAGCCTGATTCCACTCTACATCACTCAGCTTGAGCACCTCCCTGAATACCTTGATCGTCTCCTCTATCGACACCTTTTACGGGCCCATATGTTTTGTTCTTCGACTTGCCTCGTCCGCCGTCCCGGAAGGCAGCAATGGGAGTAATCTACTTTTCAAGCAGTACGCGGTTTTCCAGCGTCCTCCGTCTGCTCAACGTTGATGCTCCTTTCCTTCTTCTCATCCAACGTAGGTTCAGCTCCAACCGCAATGATAACCTTGGTGCTGGCCCTACCGACGCGGTACCAAGGCATGTTGAACAACTCTTCCATATGCTCCATCGACAAGCCCTTCGTCTCAGGGTACGCGAAGTACGCATAGACCGTCATGCACAGCGTAACGCAAGTGAAGAGGCAAAAGGGTCCCCACGAGTGCATAGCGAGGACCATGTTCGGCTGTGCTCGTGACAAGGCAAAATTTACTAGGTACTGCCAGGCGATGCAGATGGCCATACAAGTGGAGCGGATCTTGGTTGGAAAGGCTTCAGCATTGATGATGTATGGCGCAACAGCCCATGAAAAGCTGTAGCCGACAGCGAAAACGTAGATGAATACCACGGCTACCAGGCCGCCGGCCTTAGATATCTCTCCGGACTTGTCGGAGACCGCGAGGAAGACAGTGATGTAGGTGAGGGACACTAGGATCAGACCTGAGCCGACAAAGAGCCCCGTACGGCGACCGAGTCTGTCGATGATGAAAAGGCAGTAGAGAAGGACGGAAAAGAACTTGACCATTCCGTAAATGCCTGCAAAGAGGTAGTTGAAGGAGTTTGAGGTGATGCCAATGGACTCTAAGATCTGAATACGAGTGTCAGCATTGCTGCATGACAAAGCGTTGTGTGTCTGGGTAGGATATTAACTTACGGAGGTCATGTAGTAAGTCAACGTATTACCGCCAGAGAACTGGAACCCGATCTGCATCATCATGACCAGAGCAAGGCGCTTTCGGACATTCGAAGAAGCCATCTCCTTGAGGAAACCCTTGAAGCCAGGGGAAAGAGCAAGCTCGTGCTCGATTCCAGCACGAATCTCGTACAACTCCTGTCGAAGATACGCGTGATCCCTAGGAAGGGACCTCAAGTTTTCGAGGGCTGCCTCGGCGGCCTCCGACTTACCCTTGCTCAGCAGCCATCTCGGTGACTCGGGCACGAAGAATAGCCCGACGATGAGAATGATGCCGGGCAATGCCTGGACGCCCATGGGAACTTGCCATTGTGCGTTGGAGCCGCCGAGGTTTAGCAGCGCGCCGTAGTTGATCCAGTACGCGAGGCCGACAGAGAGCATCGTGTTGGCGTTGTATGATGCGGTCAACCCGCCTCGGATAGCGCTAGGTGCGATCTCCGCCATGTAGTTCGTGCCGACGACGCTGGCTGCTCCGGATCCTGCACCTGACAGGAACCGACCGACGAGGAGCTCAGCTCTGCCTCCAGCACCTCCCGGGTTGGCGCTCATCAAGATAGCCGAAATGGAGTAAACGAAGGCGGAGAGGCCAAGAGACCACTTCCTTCCCAACTTATCGTTGATAGGGGCAATGATGAGAGACCCGACACACGAGCCAAGGATCAATATGGAGGTGATCCAAGCCTTCCAGTCGGCGAGGGACTCTTCCGACATGCCGCTCAGCTCGAAGTGCTTCTTGAAGGGCGAGAAGGCGAGGACGCCCGATATGTTGGCCGTGTTGAAGCCTGTTGACGACAGCAATGGTTAGTACGCCAATGCTTGGCATGCGACTGGTGAAAGCTTGTCTACGCACCATGGGCTGAACCGGAGAAGGAGAGGATGATTGCATAGCAGAGAATCTTCCACGAAATCGCCTCTTTCGGAGTTTGCTCGTATATCTTCTTGTCGATGATGGCCATTGCAAAAGGTTAAACCAGATTCCTCTCAAGAGTTGAAACTTCTCCAGACTTCAGAGAAAGATGGAAAGGGTCGGGCTCAGATTTGAACCATGGCGTGGGAGGCGGGAAGACTGGGTTCCCCGTCTAGGTCGTGCCATGGGGACTCCGCAAATTCCTAAGTGGAGATCGAGCCACTCGAACCTCTGAAGCATCCCCAAACTGGATCTACAGCCGCCTGATCCGGTTCAAGATGGCGTTGTTGGTGGTGGCGTGGACTTACACATGCATGGCTTGTTGAAAGAGCACCAAGCAAGACAGTTTGTCCTTCATTTTCTATCCCACGAAAACACCGATGAAACTCAAGAATCATCACAAGAACCTATCACTCAGGGTTCGTGTTGTCTACAGGTTGTGTAAGCTGAGACTCGCTGGGGAAGTGTTGCGGGAATGATCCGTCGCTGGCGGTGACCGTGCTTACACCCCATGGGCAACGCGTTCCTAGTACGGGGTAGACCCGCAGGCGTTCATTGTTCAAACAATAAGCTTCTTGGGATTGGATGGACTTGTCCGGGTCTCCTTCTGTATTCGGATCATTCCAGGTACCGGCGTTGGTTCCGGTGGCCGGAGTAGTCCGCTTGGCCGGATGGCTCCGTCTAAACATCCCAGATTTTGAACGTCGATTGAGGCTCAACGCCCACGGACAGATTAGGATCTGACAATTAAGAATGTAATGCTATGGAGTCTTGAAATCACGAAAACAACGTGCCCTGGGGATATGACGGGCACAAGCATCGGTCCGTTGTCCGTCTTGCATTCCACTGATCTCAACGATTGTGGGGCCACCCCGGCTTGAATGCCGTAGCAGATGTCGTATGAAAGATTTGATGCCCTGCATCTTTAACGACTTTTTCCCTCTATTGATTTGTTTTCAATCAATCACTCTGTTGGAGTTCGAGGATAGGTAGGGTTGATGTGGGTCACGATGCTCACCGTGGTATGCGGCTATGAAGCTTAGCAAGACAAGCACCAGCATAGCGACGCTTTCTCTTATATTATCTACTTTCTTATAAATCTGCAGAGATGATTCAAAATTACATAGTTGAGATGGCAGGGCTCTCTTATCATAGACACTCACAACAACTTAACCGACCTGCTTATTCTAGCCGCGATTCTTCAGCATTGCTAATGTGACATCCTTGTCGAAGGCGTATTTATAGTCTGCGCTCCTGTTCTCCGAATTGTCGATGCGAAGGCCAGTAAACGTCATTGATGCGGACTTGGCGTCAAGGTTGGTCGTGTGCTCGTCCCCAAGCCTGGTACCCATTCCACCGCTTACTGACACGTCGGTGAAGGTATGGCCCTCTGCCCTTGCCCTGTTCAGCAATGCATCGCGTAGAAGCTGATCATGGTTTCCGAGAACTTCCAAAAGCTGTTGCATCGCCTGTGGCTTAAAATGGCCCGCCTCCTCTGCACAAGGCATTGTATTGCGGCTGGATCAATGGGAACAGCTTGACAAGGGTATCCACAGCCTCACAAATTGAGCCGATGAGGTTGTTAAAGTCGGTCTTGCGGTATAGCGCCCATCGCGTTTGGGCGACCATCTCACGGAGTCTTCTGCGTCGCTTGGTGGTAATTGTGCGCATCCTATCGATGAGTCCTTTCAAGGGCCTGCCGGAGTTCTCAAGTTCCTGAGTTGCATCTAGGACCTCCAAATCCTGTTTCTTGTCCTCATTATCCATGTTCAGTCCCTTGAACTGCTCACACTTTCTCTTAGCTGTCTCAAAGGCATCTTGGATTGTCTGTAGCCATATTCTTGCTTTCGTGAGTTCGCTCTCCTTCCAGGAACCCTCATGGAATGAGGACGCTGCATCGGCATTCTCGTCCAGAACGCCCATAGCCTCACCCCATCGTGTGAACTCTATTTCCGCAGCTTGAAGTTTGGCAACGCACAGCGCGTAATCTTGGTGGAAGGCCCGTCCAAACTAGACGTACTGGAAACAATCCAGGGATGACTCGAAAAAGCCGGGTGGATGACAAGGTGGATGATGAGATGGATGATGAGATGGACGATGAGGCGGACGATAACTGTGCCTTTCGAAATGATGAAGGCGACGACCAACGCGACAATGGAGACGCAAGAGACATTTGCGCTTTCGTCTTCAGCATACACGATCGTGATATACGATCGTGGCCGTTTGGTATTTTCAGAGCCAATCAAGGAGTGGGGTGTAGAACACGCCAAGTCCTTTTCAGTTGCGTTTATGGGTGCTGGCCCAGTCGTCGTTGAACCTCAGTGCTGGCTTCGACTGAAACATATTGCAGAGCAAGATGACACACCTGCGCCAGAAAACAGCGTCTGTTGCCATGTGTACGTCCGCGAAGTTGATGGAGATTCTTGGGTAATGAAAGATGGCCGGAGAAAGGTTTTACTGCCTTTGGCCCTTGGACATGACCATGGTATTAGGAATCGGAGCAGCCTGCCACATCGTTTTTTTTGGATTCAACCGGTCTTCGAGGTTACCATGGCTGGTGGAGTTGGACTGTTGTAACTGTATAGTTCCAAGCAGCTTTTTGGATATGGAACGACACAATCAAGGATAGGGCCCAGTTTGAATTTACATGGCAATGACGATGCCGGAGAGCTTTGGTTGCATGAGAACTTTCTAGTTGCCGCCCAGCATAGACTGCCTCAATTCAGCAGCCGGGAAATGGCGCTCAACTACTTCTCTTGACGCTGCACATGGAGTGAAGCTACCCCGCTGAATAAACGGGCCAAGAAATGGTCCCTGACCGGTATGTCGGACAATATTTCAGCTGTAGAATTTCTCCTGATTCCTTGGCTGAAGAAATGCGTTGGTTCCATCAGCTCGGACTGCGCTATGGGACGAAATGGAGCTTGGACTTGCCTGGTCGGGCATCTCGGCGCCGAAACCCACGAACTTTCTTCAGCATCGCCCCACGAAACCTCGGGAAAGGCCATGATGAAAAGGCGAGGTATTGCGTATTTAAGTCATTGAGGTTCATCTGGTCATATTGCTTCTCCTAATATGTTGTTATCGTTATCTCATTCAGGCATCATCAATCCGTCTTCCGTCGGTTTTCAACGCTCACCATGACCGACACCAACTACTACCAGCGCCTCACAGAGGTGTACACCTTCGACAACAAACCACTGCTCCTTGCTTCCGCCGTAAGCTATGTCGTCGGCTACCTCCAGTACATGTATGTCATCCGCCTCACTCTCCGTGAAGGCAAGGGTCCGATGCCCTTCTGGATGCACTCTTTCTACCTCGCCCACGACTCCACATGGTCCTACATTCTCGGCAAAGCAGCAATCCAGTACAACGAACATTGGTTCCTCAGAGGAACATCGACGGCACTCTTCGTGTGGACGACGCTTGAGATGTGGTGCATCCACAGGGCCGTCACCAAGGAGCGCGAAGCCAATTTCGCTTCGGTGCTCGGGAGTAATCCGAGCGTCTTCTCGGCGGCGGTCTACGCGCTGGCACTCCAGCTTGGCATGTACACGGTCGTGCTGCTGGGCATCACGTTCATGGGAGAGGGCTGCGTGATGCAGTGGTTCTGCTTCACCAATGTTCTCATTGTCTTGGGACCGACCCACCAGTACCTCAGAAACGGGTCGAGGCATGGGCTTTCGCTTGGGTTCTGTTTGGTCAACATTGTCGGAACCATTTGGACGTTTGCACCATTCAGTTTCTTCGTCTTGACGATTCCTGAGGTGTTCGACAACACTCTGTATTACGTGGTTGGATGCATTCTCACGGTCTACTCGATGGGGTGCTATTTCGTGGTTGCGCAGTATCCCGCCAAGACGGCGGACATGAGCAAGCCTGGAAAGGGAGCTCCGATTTGGTGATGCAGCCTTGGACAAACGGACGGCAGGAGGAATATTTGCACGTGGAAAAGCATGATTCCGGTTTAAACACGGCCTTAAATAATGTGGAATAATTGTGACAAAGCATCTTTGGTATTTGGATGCGATAAGGGTGAATAGCTTGCTGTGAAAGTGAAAGTGAATTCCATGATTCAGGGGCTCTGGATAGCTTTAGTGGGGCACATGCCTTCCAGGTTATATAAGCCAGCCCGGGCCCATGCATGACGCAGCGCGTCCCGCCGAGGGGTCCAGCTGCTCCGACCGCCTCTCACTGCACCCCGCACTAAGCTCAGCTAAGCTCTCCCACGCGGCGCACAACCACCACTGCAACCACGACCCGACCTCTTTGGACGACCTCGGCAGATCTACTTACGCGACGCGTTCCAATCCTCGACCCTTCTCCCGCACATCGCGCCTCTCGAGGTCGCCGAATCCTCCCCTCCCAATGCCGCCCATACCGCGAACCACGCCCCTCCCCCGCGTCATCACCTACTACCAGACACACCACACCCACGATGGCAAGCCGATCTCCATTCTCCCGCTCATCACGCAACCCGACATCAGCGTAACTCACGTGATCCTCGCCGCGATACACATCAACGACGACCCGCACGCCCTCACCCTCAACGACCACAGACCCGACGACCCGCGCTTCCTGACGCTATGGGCAGAGCTGCGTGTGCTGCAGGCGAGCGGGGTGAAGGTGCTGGGCATGCTTGGAGGCGCTGCTCGAGGCTCGTATGAGAGGCTGGACGGCGACGAGGCCAAGTTTGAGGAGTACTACATCCCGCTGCGCGATATGGTACGGAAACACGCCCTCGACGGCATCGATTTGGACGTCGAGGAGGAGATGAGCTTGGGCGGTGTGATTCGCCTGATCGACCGGATACGGCAAGACTTTGGGAAGGACTTCATCATCACCATGGCTCCAGTGGCCATGGCACTTCTCGACCCATTCAAGAACCTTAGCGGATTCGACTACGAGGCCCTGGAGGTCATGCGCGGGAAGGAGATCGCGTGGTACAATGCCCAGTTCTACTGCGGCTGGGGCGACTGCAGTAACCCCGTCATGTACGAGATGCTGCTGGCGAAGGGCTGGGCGCCAGAGAAGATCGTCATCGGCCTAGTGACAAACCCGGAGAACGGCGGCGGCTGGGTGCCGTGGGAGATGCTGGGGTCCGTACTCCTTCTGCTTCGAGGCCGTTATGAGCGGTTCGGAGGTGTTATGGGCTGGGAGTACTTCAATAGCTTGCCCGGCGGCAGGGAGAAGCCATGGGAATGGGCTCAGTGGATGACGACAATGCTGCGATCGGAGAAGGCTTCATCTTGGCCGGCACATGGAGTTCTGCCGGTGGAAACAAGTGAGATTGCCAAGGTGGTCAAGAAGGAGCTCGTCGATGAGGTCGATCCCGATGGGCCCAACAGCAAGGATGCGCCGCTGCCAGCGAGCTTTGACTACTATTCAGACACCAACCTCGACGATGATTGAGCGGATCGAAGACAGGCATGGTAAGAAATCAGTCTTGGATCCTTGGGCAGGGCGAAAAGTTCGGAGTACAATGCCCTCGCAGGGAAAGGCATGGCCCCTATTGACGAATTGAGAATCACGCGAAGACGATTGGGGCATGAACTTTTGGGCGTTCAGGTTGTTCCATCCACTTTCAGTTTCGAACTCAACTAGATTTATATAGATGGAAGAAGACGAGCTTGGTCTGTTCAATCGACCGTCGGAGGACCGATGTTCTTTCGATTGAGGTCGATTGCTAGAAGATAGGAACAAATGGTCCGACGCAAAAAAAGCACAAAAAGATTGGACTCGACCTGGCGACCTTCCCGGAAAAGTTGACTTTAAAAGTGGGGCTTGTACATGTACAAGTCGAAGGTGAGAATATTTTGGCTCGACATCGCTTGTCATACTATATTGTATAGGCAAAAATGAAAAGAACAATGAGCAGCTCGAGGAATTATGTAGCATCACCAATTGAAATCCGACCGAACCCAGGCCACCCACCCTTAGACGATCTTCACAGCAAGCGTGCTCATTGTTGGAGATATTCCAGATGCAAACCGGGGCATATACCTTTCTCAGGGGGTCTGGGAGTTTAGGATGCAGCGCTTGCTTCTGCTAGCAGACCAAGGTGAGATGAGGTGAATGCGCGCAGCCTTGCCTTTATTTTTCCAGTGTTTTTATTTTGCCATTGCAGTTCTCTTCATTCTACCCGACGAGATCCTTCTCTCTTCCCAACCATCGCGATCTTTCTCATCCCATCCTCCAACCATCGTCCAACCCATCATCTCAGCTTCTCATCCCTTTCCATCCTCCCACTATGGCTTCTGCTTCCTCCGCCTCCGTCTTCAACCTTCGCCCTGAGCTGGAGCCCGCCCTTCCCGACGTCGCCGAGAATACCCAAGTGAAGACGAGCGAGAACGACATGGGATACCGTAAGAAGCGCAACCGTGCTCGCAAGGACGAGTATCTCAAGAGGCAGCGCGCGCGCACCACCTCTAGAAAGCGCAACGGCGAGTTCGTCCTGTCTGGAGGTCATTGTTCTCCCCCATACCCGCGTTCTCAAATATCTCATAACTGACGATTTCCTACAACAGCTCGCGCCGCTCTTCCGGCCCGCGTTTCCAAGGAGAACCGCAGCACTTACAAACTGGTCAAGTCCATGCTCCTCCTCACCACCACCATCAAGGACGGCTTCACCGTCGGCTTCGCCTTCCGCGACAGCGACTTCATGCATGACGCCGAGGCCGAGAGTCTCTGCGGCGCTCTTCAGCTTCAGGGCTCGCAGGCCCTCGACACAGCGCGCATCCAGGGTTTCGCCCTGATGCTCATGAAGTCATGCAACCAGTGCTATGACGACTACCAGGGCCCCAAGGGAGAGAACGGTGACTTCTTCGAGGCCGTCAAGGGTATCATCCACGAGAGAGGCGTGATGGGCGGCGGTCTTCACCCCAAGACTCACTCGATGGAGGCTATCATTGCCAGCGCCTGCGAGGCTATGCTCGCACTCTTCGTCAACGGCCGAAAGGCTTATCTCCGAGATCTTGTTGATGGAATGGAGGAGCAGGAGGGTGTTTACACGAGCAACACGCGTAAGCTGATTGACCTTGTCGACGGCTGGATTAAGTGGACAGAGGATGCGGATATTGAGGAGGAGAAGCTTGTCGACGCATTGGATGATGTTGACATCGAGCGCGAGCGCTAAATGGAATGATGGTGAAGGAAGAAAGGAGCAGTATCAGCTACAGCGTAAAGCTCCATGTCACAATGAAACTGGTGGAAAGCTGATACTCTCTGGTTACTACTTTTAGTCCTTGCTTGCCCTTTCTTTGGCTTAAGTCGTTGGTATCACATCCTCGCGTACAAGACGACAATATTCTTTGCTGCTCTAGTCTCCCAGTATCCTTTGTCATGCATAGAAAAACGCCAGAATGCTTTACATAGCGGCCTCTATCATGTAATCCCAAAAAAGGAATCACCTTGCTCATAAAGTCTTGAGCTTGTCTTTTGCGAGGAACCTAAGGGAATGGCGACGCTTCCCTGCTTACACCTGCCGCACTCCAGCGGTGTTTCTCGAATTCTCCTCGACTCACCACTTTTGATGCCAGGAGTGATGTTGCTTGCAGACAAGTTTTTGCAGATATACTAACTACCTGCAGCTCTCTCCAAGCTTTCGACACTTGCGCACGCGTCTCCGGTCGTCGTCGTCGTTGTCGCTAGTGCTGCGGCTGTCTTTTGAGAAACGTTTCTCTATCATACTGCGATGCTAGTTTATTGAAACCAATATCAAATGCTCCTGGAAGTGAATGAGTCGTGAATCCGCACAAAGCGCATGAGAGCCAGTGATGCAATGCAAACATCTGACGGCAGGATTTGCGGGTCCACGATGATTCTCGCAAGTGGACTTCAAGTGAGGGGACTGCGTACTTGCATTGCACAAATCTTTGAGAGCTACTTTGTGAACTCTTATCCTATCATTTAGATATATTGTTCCGATACCTGAAAATCTCGTAGCTCAGTCCATGACCACCACTCGCCTTGATTATGCCCTTATCCCCCTAATCTGCTTACAATATCATGCCTCATGTCTTGTCCCAAGTAAAGAACAACCAAACAAAGAATGAATCACGCCGGTATACCTATCTCCGTGCTCAACAATTCAATTACATCGATAGCCGTCTAATTCTCACACGCCATACGCGACATATAGCGGTCCACCAACTTGATGAGAAACCTAGTCTTGGAGGTGGACCCCGAAAATCCATTGTATGCCGGTCCATGGGTCTTGAGGTACAGACTCCGAGCAGTGACGAAGTACTGGTGCATCTTGTCGCACGCGTCAGCCGAGATAGGAGCCATCGAGAAGGTTTCCAAGGCGCCGCCCGTAATCCCATCCCGACGGATGATCTGTGCAACCTCAGAAAAGTATTTGACGCGAGGGTCTTCTCCTGGATAGTCTATGGCGTCGAAGACTTCTGCCTGATAGTCGATGGCGACGAAGAGGGCTTGCGCAAAGGCGTGGATGCGAGGGACGTCGATGAGGAGCTGGCCGTGGAGGCGCAGCGTGCGGCTGAGGGTGCTGGCCACCGTGCCTGTGATGATGTTTGCGATAGTGTTGTCGTCAGGGTGAGTGAACCCGTCCGGCAAGGCGACCTCAAGGGTCTCAATCAAGGTGCTTGGGGACATGAGTCTCTGGGGTGGTTGGTTGACTGCGATATACAGGTCAGCAAAAACGTATTTTGAGCATGAAAAACACATACATCTTCGAACTTGCTTGTCCTGCTTCTTTTTCTGGGCCTTTTTAATGCCGCCGTACGTCTTGGGCTTGGGGGAGCTCCGAGGCTTGAGTTTCTTTGCTTCCCTGTTCTTTGAGGTGAAGACGTAATGTTGTGGTTCTGCAATATCTGGAAGAGCCGCCTCGAGATCGGCCTTCAGATTGAAGAGGGACGCCATGTTGTGTGTCTGAAAGACTGTTCGGTCTTGTTGCAATGACGAAGTTGAGAGAATGATGAGATGATTGGGAGGTCGGAGAGTCCATGGTTCTGTAGGAATAAATGAATCTTTCTCCGAAGCGTGGGTCGCGCGACGAGATGGTGGGCAGGCAAAGGTGAGAGTTAGGAAAAGTAAATATTGAACTTGAATTGGGTGCAGGATATTTTGGCCCAGCAAGGTCAAATCGCCGCCCCTCCCGTAGTTTTCTCCGTCAAATCCGTAGCTAACCACCACAGTTTCAAACGGAGAAACATTTTACACTTCAAACACGCAACATGGAATAAATTTACATCTAAGTGACCTTTTATCTGCTCAACAAAGGAACTGCTCACATCCATTGCACTTGTCGGCACCACGATCTTGATGCTTACACCACTGTCTTGGAATCTCTAGATACCGACATCGTTCATAATCTCAACCAAGCCATTCTCCATGTCATCGTCCTCCTTCGAAAACTCCAGCCAAGCATCAAGGATGCGGAGAAGGTCCCTCGTCTTCGCGGTGTAGGTTCCCTCCTGTGAGTCCTCTGGGAAAGCCAGAAAATAGGCCTTGCGAGCTTTGACAAAGCACTCCAGCATCACCTTGCAGGTGTTTGTAGAAATAGTCTTTGTGGACAAGTTCTTGGGGCCGCCGACAAGGCCCTTGATACGCACATCCCGGGCAATGGCCTCGAAGAACTCGGAGTTGTCGCCGGAGCCACGCTTGTACTTGCCGCGGCACGCCTTGACGGCCTTGACGAGAGAAAGCATGAAGCCCATGATGCGGCCAGCGTCGCGAGGATGGTTATGAAGGTGGAGTACGCTGCACAGGTCCTTGGCCTCTTGATACTCGATCCAGTCGCCGATGTCGCCGATGGGGAAGCAGAAACCACTCTCGAAGCCGGTCTGGAGGATTTGCAAAAGGTTGGCCATGCCCTTGAAGGCCTTAGGATCGCGCTTGGGCCCGAAGTGTTTGTCGGGAAGGGCGGCATTGGCTATGGCTTTGTTAGATGCTTGCATTGCAATATTTCCAATGAGAGGACAATCAAAACGTACTTCCTCTCAGCATGCGCTTGCGCTTGCGCTGTCGCTCTGAGTCCTTTTTGTAGGCGATGTGACCTGCGCGGTACTTGCCATTGAGCAACCTGCTACGAATTTTGCGCTTCGTGGCGGGTGCGTCCGCGCCATTGTGATCGCTGGCAGCGGGATTGGCTGGAACGTTATCATCTTGGTCGACGACGGGCAAGGCAGGCTCAAGTTCCTCCTTCATGTTGAAGGGCGCAGCCATCGTGGGTGGAATTTGCGGATGAAGTCGATGGTTAAGGAGTGTGGTGATGGGGGCAACGAGAAAAAGGTCGTCTGGAGTGAGATGCAGAAGCAAGGTTTCCGACAAAGGGAAAGAGAGAGGAAATCAAAAATTGGGACGCGTTGTTTACGCGTCTGGTGTTTTGTCGGGGTGAAGGTGAGCTGCTCAACGAGTACTGAAAGGCAGCGAAGCGCTCCCAGTCACCGGGGAAAGCCTTATAGGTATCGTACTTTCCAGTCCTTTCAACAAATCAAGCACTCCAAGTGAACATGGTCTGGTGGTGGAACGTGTAAGCCTGGGTTCGGCTGGAAATTGAAATTGGTGACCCTACGTAACTCCAGGAGCTGCGCGATTGTTTTTTATCTTCTTTTTTCCTTTTCATACCTATTAGAAGTTTGATTTGGATTCAAGATATATGTATCAACACTTGCTTTTGAGTCGTGGCTGTTTTCAAACTCGCGCGCAACAGATGTCATACTCGTTTTAGGAAAACCCCGACTTGTGAAGCTGACAATGTCGCGTTCAACCCCTTTTCCGTTGTCAGTAAGAGAAATATTCAGCACACTGTCCTATAGTCAAAAAGACTTATTTGTCGCAAGGCCGAAAAAATTCAGTTGCTTAAGAACATCATTATCCGATAATCGTAGTCCTGTTCTACCCTGGCTCTGCCTTATTTCAGTTTGTACATCCCACAGACCTTCTGGTATGCTTCCCATTCTCCGTCTGAAAGGCCAGGGGGGCGTGACTGTTGACCCTTGCCGTGTCGACCCTTCGCGTTACCATGCCTTTGGTCTTTCTCATCATCTTCACTTTCCGTCTCTGATTCTGACTCCTCGGTACTGCTATCTTGGCCAGAGGCAGGCACCTTTCTAGCAGAGGAACGAACATAGGCCGGTCGCTGCTCGGTAGTCAGAGGAACAACTTGAGGCGGCATCTGTGTGTATGCAGGTATGGTAGTGTAAGGGTCGGCTCTCCAACGATCCCTATTAGCCCACTCGGCTTCTGAAGCACCCATCGCACTAACGAGATACTCGTCAAACTTCGCGTACCCTTCCGCCACGATCTTGAATTGCTCTTCACCGAGAACAGGCACTGGTTCTCCGTCGATCCGTTTCTTGGCTTTATGTTCCGCTAAAGCAATGGCTGTCTGAAAGGCATTTCGGATTTGCCTATGATTTCCCGTCAGTTGATTGCAATATCACTCGAAGTGTCTTCTCGGCTGGGAACAAGATACTTACCTGCCATTCCATGTATCTCGGCCGTTCCTCTCGAGATCTCTGAAGTGCTCTTTGGCAAAGTCCATGATTTCAGACTTCTTGATCTCAAATGCAACGTGGCCTCTAGATCTTTGCTCGTCCTTGGCGCGTTTGATGAACTTTCGGTAGAGTTCCTTGGTGACTTTGAGGTTCAGCTTGGGATAGAATAGTGACACCTGGATGCGAGATTTGAATGCGGGATCCATTGTACCCACACGGTTTGTCGTGAGAAACAAGATGCCAGCGTAGTATTCGAGAGTTCGGAGAAAGACGCTTGTAACAGCATTGTGGCGCAAGTCGCTTCTCGTCCGCTTGGCCAAAAATACGTCGGCTTCGTCGAGAAGAAGCACGCAGCCCCATTTATGAGCCAGCTGAAAGTTGGACTGCAAGTTCTTATCCACTTCGAGGGCTGTCTCGCCGATGTCGCCGCAGGTTATTGGGAAGAGAGGGCGCTTCGTGTCGTCAGCGACGCACTCCGCTGTTGAGGTTTTGCCGACTCCAGGAGGTCCATGGAGTAGAATCACGAGTCCGGCTCCTTTTCCCTTGACGAGGTCCAGGCAAGATCCGATACTGAGGGGATTGCCAGTGCGGGACTCCGAGGACCGGGTTGCTCGCAAGGATTCATGGGTGTCGACCAGCGCACGCACTGTTTTGCTGTGATTGTCGGGGAGAACCAGGTCGTCGAAGCTGTTAGAGAACTCTACATCGCTGAGTTTATCGATCGGTATAGTAACCCATTGCCGCGACCGTAGCACGAAAGCATGGACATAGTGTTGCATCAACATGAGGTCGTCCTCAGTCAAATCCTTTTCGTGTCGTGGTCCAAGATACCGAGACATCTCCCCCAAGAATATCTGAGAATTGAATTCATCGATATCTCCGTCTCTGTGAATAACGTCTCCTCCACAACAGCCTTGCGTGGTTCCATGCTTACACCATGAGTCTTGACGGGTCTCTCGTGGGTCTGGCCGTGTTAAGCTGTCCGTTGAAACGGACGACTTTAGTAGCCAATCGGGATTTTGTGCGACGGCCAAGGCCATGTCAACGATGACCTGCGCCTCCAAGTCGTGTGACAAATCATCCAATGTCCTGCCTTTGAACATCTTATGGCAAAAGGGGCGGTTTGTCAAGGCCACAAATCGTTTGCCTCCGTCGATGAACTGCTTTCGTAGCGTGTCATAATTCTTGTCGAATCTCATGGGATAGACTGGCAGCGAAGTAATCGACTTCCTTCCGAAAAACTTCTTGATGGATATTCTCTTGATCTTCGGCACGTACACGTGTCCATTACTAGCCATGCTAATGCAGTCCAGCACGAATCCGTCGACACGGATGGGCTTTTCCTCATTGCCGAACTTGCGATAGCTTAGGGGCTCTCTGCCACCAGCAATGCCGAAAATCCGGTAGGCATGGTGACGCTCTTCTTGGGAAACAACAAGATCGCCCCGTTTGAAAAGATGCCAGAGATCGGCGTATTCAATTTCCGTTGCTGTTCCTTCTGCAATCTTCTGTCGCAGGATCATCGTGGGCTTGAGATCCGTGTCGAGGAATTCAACTAGACACTCCAGATCTGGTAATAGATCCTTGTACAAGTACATCTGCTGCAACTTCTTCCCCTTGTGCCGTTTAGGAAGCTGTTCAAGGACTTGGGAGGGAATAGCCTTCTTTGCTTCCTCAGCTTCTGCAGCTGATTTCACGGCTTGGACGCTGCCTTTGATATCATCTATGTGCCCGACGAAGAATTTGAATGGACGCAGGAAAACAATGCTGTTGTAAACCTCAATATTTCCCACGACCTGCGGGGGCGACGTCTGAATCATCAGAGAAGCCCCGACCAGCTTATCGAGGTGCGAAAGAAGAGCGCGAGATCGAATGCGCAGCCGCTCAGGGGAAGATGAGTATTCCACACCCGCCGAGGAAACGTTCTCGGAAATCTGAACCTCAAGAGCTGCTTTCTCGTTTGTGGGCAATGCGACATTGTTTTTCGTAAGACGAAACTGGTCGAAGGGCACCCTCAGGAGTTGATGGCGGTGGACAGGATACATCTCGTCTGGGGTCGGTGGCTCCCACACGGTATCAGCGCCGTTGATAATAGCTCTTAAGTCTTTGACTTGCTTTTCAAGCTCTTCGATCCGCATGTGTGTGAAGGTATGGTCCAGCACTGCTTGTTGGGCTCGAACTCCGAAGCGACCCATCTGTTTCTCTCTATCGAACAGCTGCTTTCCGAGAGTCTTGTGCTGCAGATGAGCGACATGTTGACTTAGGACTGCCTTCGACTCCGTAGGTCCATCCGCTGGCTTGTATCTGTTCGCCTGGCCACGGTACTGAGCAGTCGCAGAATCTTCGCTTGGTCTCGCCGACTCAATCTTCTCGGCACCTGGAGCACGATCTTTCTCGTCTTTTGCCTCGTCTTTTGCCCCATCTTTTGAAACCAACTGGCTCAGACTGGCTGTTTCGCCAGTATTAGCGGTTGTTGAGGGAGTTGGAGGGGGCCACAACAAAATATCTCCCCCGCGATTGAAAGATTGGGGGGCTTCAGGTGGCATGGTGACATTTATGACCGAACTGTTTGGGCAGAAAATCCGAGGGCTGGGCAGGGTAGCCAGAGAGATATTCAGAAGTCAGAAGATGGTGCGAAGTGTGCACTTGAAAGCGAGCAAACGGTGCCTGATTGGTTTTAACCGAGGTCGCCAAACTTGGCAAAGTCTGAAATAACCAATGATTTTCTTTTGCGCCATGGCACAGAACACCCGAAATGCGCAGGAACTGGACATGCGCCGCCTACTAAGGTACACGGCTTCTATGTTGGTGAGCAATTTTTGCAGTGAATACCCACTCTGGCGCATGGTCTGCTGCGGCATACATCCGCTTTGAGTACCAACAGTGCTTACTGAGGGGCCATTCCCCCTGGCCAGCAAGTGATGGCCTTCCAACAGCCAACACATGGTTCGTCGTAATTTGATATTTTCAGCGATTGGCCCGTATTGAAGTCCACTTGACATGCAGATGTTGCTACACTGCAGCTGCAGTCCTTATCCTGGCGGATCAGAACTGTTAGACCCAACAAGCAGATGGCCTGCCCTGTTCATCACGTAAACCCCTCACTTGAAGCAGGACACTTGCTTAATGCCACCGAACTTCAACCGGAAACACGCCTATGATGTAGAAGGCGACCTCAAACCTTATTATGAAAACATCCGTCCGTCCCTCAATGGCGAACCTAGACCGATCTACATTTCTGGCCTCAAGTGAGCGGCAGCCCTCCAGCTCACCCATTAGATTCATAGAGAACCATGTATGTATTCCAGGAGAGCCCGAGCCAGTCCACAGCCCATGGGCGGGACGACTAGTCTCCCACACCGAGGCTGAGCGTGGAGATGATCAAAGGTTTGAAGCACAATACGATTTGACACCAACAGTTCTGATCCGATTGGTTCCAGAAGTGCGCTGTGGAAGCAAGCCGATGACGAGATAGCGCAACTCTTCAAGCTGATGTCGGAAGTGAGGTCAAAGCTGGCACGGAAAGAAAGCGGAAGCCAGCCAATCACGAGATCATTGAGCCTCCGCGGGTGTACTTGGGATGAGGTCGTAGAGGAAATCCAAGCCACAGCTCAGAGATGGAAACAAAGAACCGGCAAGATAGGGAAGTCGATGGAATTCATCAACAAGATTGGCAATCACTCTGAGGCTCTGACCGCATGGCTTGGTCTTTTGCCAACTGGCGACTATGGATCTAGGTAAGAAAGATGTGACATCCAAACAGAGTTGGGGTATGATTTTTACTCACATCTCTGGAATAGTATCTGTGGAGTGTTCAAGTTAATTATAGGGGTAAGGCATCATCTTTAGAGAAACTGCGGTGAATAGGAAGTCACTAAAGAGACATTTGTGCAGGCTACGGCAAACTACAGTAAAGTTGAGGAGGATATTTTCCAGGCGCTCTCGGAGATACCAGATGTGATGGAATCAACGAGGCGATACGTTGCAATATGGACGCAGCGTAACCAGCATTTTGAGCGACTGGTCTTCAATCTCTATCGCGCCACACTAAAGTCATTGCGCCAAATCATGCAGTTTTTCGCGGACAGCAGACTCAGTAAGACCTCGCAGCCCCCACATCTCCCTTGCTTCTATCATAGAGCATCATTCGTGCTGACCATAACTAGGCAAGGTCTTCGGCGCCATTATCAAACAAAAAGATTTCAAAATCGATCTTTCAATGAGCTTGAGAGAAATGCGGCAATGTGCTGAGAACATCGGAAAGGAGGGGCAACTCTACAATGCCGAAGAGACCCACGACACTTTTCTCATGGGAGAGCGAACCGAGCTTGTGGTGAACAGAATACTGCGGTTCCTCGAAACACATCCGCTGCTGCAGGTGAACACTGCAGAGCTCCGTAAGTCATGGCCCAAGCATAGCTGCGGGGGCTTTCTCCATGACCCCTTTGCCGAGTACTCTGTCCTTGCTGATGCCGCGTGCTACTTCAGGCACCATGAAGGCCGCCCTCGAGCCCATTAGCCAGTACGATCTGGCGAATGTTCATCGCACATTTTCAGACGATAGCTTGAAACACTTTGAGCTGCAGCAGCTAGTAGACGAGACAGCCGAGAAAGACCGCCAGGAGAAGGCGCACGCCGATAGGGACGCCTTGCTGCAAGTTATTCGATACGATCCAGGAGTTATCCAGCAAGACATCCTGAGATGTGCCCAGTCTGGGTACATCATGAATGATGAACAGAAGTCGAGAGCTGCGGCGATGATTCGAAACGAAAAGTTCAAGTCATTTCTGCAAGATGCACATTCATCAAGAAGCCTGCTTGTCAACGGCAATGAAGACACTGCTCGTGCGGATGGAATCTCCCCCCTCAGTCTCGTTGCTGCCGAGTTGTCGCGGCTGTCTGAAAGTGCAGGCGCAGTGGAGGCTCCGGTATTTGTCCTCAACTACTTCTGCGCTGAGCATTGTCCTAGTCCCATGTTTCCGTCGTTGGAGACGTCGGCTGCTGGGGTGATGGCTAGTCTGGTAGGCCAGCTTGTCAGCCAAATGAAAGATGAAGGGATGACCGTCGAGCTTTCATTTATGTCAGAGAAGAATTGGCGACGGCTTGAAAGATTTGACGTCAAAGCACTTTGCAATCTTTTCAAGAAGCTGACGAAGCAGTTGCCGCCCGGGGGAATGCTTCTGTGTATTCTTGACGAGATATACTTGTATGAGTCGAGAGAGAACACGGAATACGCTGTGTGGTACTTGTCAAGTCTCGCTGAAAAGCAAAGATACAACAGATCGGCTTTCAAGCTGCTGGTAACGTGTAGGATCCGAGCTATGGGGTTTGCAAAGTATTTCGTTCAGAACACACTGGATTTGGACGATGATGTTGATCTAGATGACTCGGCCGACTGGGAGATGCAAAGAATGACAGATTACAACTGACCAGCTTGGTTACATGTAACTTCTGGTGTTTACTTCTAGGTATCGTTGTTGCTGAACAAGCCTCGGTCGACATGCTAATTCGCTAGTCGAATACTCGGTGAGAGACTTTTCTCGGTAAGTATGTCCGGTCAAACTGTTCACCGAGACCCTCGCGTAGAAATAGTGGGTCTGTCTCAACTCTAACCCCGTTCAATCTTCTTGAAACGACCTTCTCCTGATGTCATCAATATCAGCCACGAGATCCAAAAGCATGTCTTAATTGCAAGAATATTGCACTATGATAGCATTCAATATCATGCCGACCAGCCGGATTCATTCACGCTTTACACCTCGGGAGCACGCGCCAATGCCCGGACGTCTCTTGCGCCGATCACCCGAGCTGTCATGTCGATCCCAACTTGTGCCTCAGCAAACCGAGCATCACGGGAGTCTGGCCAAACGAAAGGGAGCCACTGGTATCGCAGCGACTGGTGCGAAATCCGATCAAGGTTTACCGCCAAATGGGCAAGTGCCGACAACCCCTTCGAATACGATGTCGCAGCGACAGGGTTGCGGGAGCGTGGCACCATCCCGTCGGCCTGATCTTCCATTAAGTTCGGACGACCACCGCTTCCCATCCCGGGGTGAGGTTGCCTCGAGCACCTTCGCTTGCCGCTGGCGCATTTAGCATTGCAGCCCCCTTTAAGGATGACAGCGTGTGACGATGTCGTCAATAAGGGAGCAACGGCGTTTACACGAAGGGCATTCTAAGTTTAGCGCCCTGGATCGCCATGGGGGCCCCTGCGTCGGAGTGTTTCGCCTCTTTCCAGAATTGATGTTTCAAGCCAATTGTCATTGGTGGAAATCCTGCTGGTGTGGAGGTCAGTTCATCTATCTCGAGGGTCTTGCGGGGCATCAGACAGGGTCGTGAGGCCGAGCTAGCTCTGGTCATCAGCAGACTGCCATCAACTCGACGCCCAGACAGAGCGCGGAGAGCTATTTGGGTATTTGAAGTGCGCAATGTCCCGGGTGTTCGTCTGGTCTGTTGGATGCTTCTTCCAACCTCAACCCTCCATTCCTTTCTTTCATTTGCCAAGATGGTCTGGTTCAATCAAGCAGCCCTCGTCCTCAGCAGCGCGCTGCTCGTGGCCGACGTGCTCCCCGTCGGGGCCGTGCGGACCATCATCCCCAAGACGAGCTTCGACTCCCAGTCCAACTTCGACGCCGACTGGAACTACCTCTACCCTTGGGGCAGCGACCACAACGGCGGCGCGCGCATGACCAAGGACAACGTCAAGTTCAGCGGCGGCACGCTCACCCTCACCGCCAACAAGGTCAGCGGCCAGAAGCCGGCGACGCACGGCGGCCAGCAGATCGCCATCAACTACCTCAGCGGAGCGATCCACGCCAAGGAGCACTTCAACGTCTCCAAGGGTGGCGGCTACGACTTCAGCGCCGAGCTCAAGGCGACCACGACCAAGGGCACATGGCCCGCGTTCTGGCTGACGGCCGTGCAGGGCTGGCCGCCTGAGATTGACATGGCCGAGTGGAAGGGCAGCGGCAAGATCAGCTTCAACACCTTCAACACGAGCTCGATCGTGACGGCCAAGGACGTCAACTACCCGAGCCCCGGCAACTTCCACAGCATCAAGGTTGAGACGAGAGATCTCAACGGCAAGGATGTGCAGGCCAAATTCTACATGGACGGCAACCTCATCACGACGCAAGTCGGCGCTGGATATTTCGGAAAGCCGATGTACCTGTGAGTCTGATGCCTGATGCCGGATATCCGGTGGGAAAGTTTGACGGTGATTACTGACTTGAAATGAAGGATTATCAACTTGCAAATGGAGGGCTCTTCCGGCTCGCCCGGCCCAAGTGGAAGTGAGTAGTGGAATAAGCTTTCTGTCAACTTAAATTGCGACGATGCTAACGAGTCGTGTAGGCACCGAGTTCCAGGTGCGGAACCTCGAGGTTCTCAGCTACAACCCGTGATATGACGAAATACGGGCATGAGAGCGTTGTTTTGAATTGTTCATATATGGATTCCCACTGTATTTACTTGAATACGGGGCCATCGCGTCCCACGTACATATCTCCCTGCGCCACGGCGCATTGCATGATCAAAGAGATTTCGACTTCAAAGTTCGAAGTTGGTTCCTGCCTGATGTGCCTCCCGCTCTACTGACTCGAGTCCCTCTTGAGAGCTCTCCTCGCCCAGCCATGATCCTTCCTCGAGGGCCGCTTATCGGCAGGGAGCTCCCGCTTCCACGTGTCACGGATGTCTGCAAGCATGGTCTTCTGCTCCTAGCACTCGGATAAGATTAGTTATCAGGTGTGGAAAGGTTCAACATACCATACTTAGGGGATGCTCGACTGGCGTCAGGATGATGAACTGCTCGTGAAAGGGGTTCTGTTCAAGTGAAGGTCAGCCCCAGACGACAAGTCTTCCTTCTCACTCACCCAGCTGACTGTCAAGTCTTCTCGGGGACCCTGCAGGCGAACCGCATCTAGAATCTCTGTAACCTTGTCAGCGTAGTCCTCAGGGTTAGTCTTCCACCTTTCCGAGAACTCCAGGCAGAATGTCTCGCAATAGAGTGCCTTTCCCATAGCTGCGACTGATATCCTTGAAAAAGGTGAGATGTCTGGAGATAATTCTGCTTTCAATATCTGATACTTCCGAATTTGTGGGTGGTTTATGATGCTGGGCCTGACGCTGGTCATGGAAGACTGCAGCTGTGATTCATAGAGTGTTCCATGGACTCATGGCATGTTCACCTTTGAAGACCTCTGAGTGAATGTTTGAGTTCTTTCGACCCATGTGGTCCTGTGGCTGAAAATGACAGCGGAATCTTACTACAAAGATGCTGTACTGACATGGCCAAGGACAAGCACATTGATAAGTCACCAAAAAGGCTCCTTTCAAGGTGTCTTCCATTAGTGAGAATAACAGAAGGAAAAGAGAAAGTCCATTAGTCTGATGTAACTCCCTTACCCAATGTCAAAGGAGAAAGTCTAGGTAATACAGCAAAGCAAAAGAAAGAAATCATTCACTTCAGCGGCTAGCGTTGCACAAAATAGGCAGCTACATGCAGGTGAGCTGTGCATAAAGAAGCTCTGTGCACAAGTTGGTGCAGCTTACCTAAGATCTGCCACTTTTCTTAGCACATGACCTGGTGTCTGTTTCGCGTCCAGCCATCTCAGTCGGGTTCTCTCCCCTGTCACTTTTCCACCCACCCCCGCCAGTCTTTCTCGCGCCTCTTTCTTGTCAGAATCACTCTGCCAGCCTTGACCGACGATGCGAAACGACAATGACGCGCTCTAAAACCCTCGCAGCCGCTGAGAAGAAGGCCCTCGAGGGCAAGAACGAATCGCAAGACAGCCAGTATGTCCTGGACCAATACAGGGTCGTGTATGGGATCGGCGTGGTACGTAGGGCCATTTTTGCTTTTTCCTGTGGCGTTCCTCCAAGTGGAGGCGCTTTTCTGCCTGCCCTGGACGTGTTTTGGGGCATTGCTGCCACTGGATTGATTGCAACATTTGCTAGCACTGCGACGATGCAGGCATTGCTGCGACCATGCGCTAACTGATTCGGGCGCCAACATAGACAAGCAGTTCGCCGCCGAGGCCATCAACATTATCGCGACAAAATAGTCGAGAGAGCAGAAGGTGTCGCGACTCGCCTTCGACTTTCCATTCTGATCCTCCGAGCAGAGCGACCGGTCAGCCCATTTCCCAATCGGTACCGAACTGCGCGCCTCCAGCGACTGGAACCGGAAACGTGGTGGGTGATTGTTCCCCCACCTGGGAAGCAGGGATTCCTTGCCGGGATGGCACTGACCAAGACAGCTACCCCAGCAGGACTTTATTCGCGAGGGCCTATCGGTCGCGTCACCTCCCGCTGCCGCCGCTACGGATGCCGGAGGCCAAGATCGCGGCCCAGATCCCCAAACAACATCCTTTGCCTCAGCTCCGCCAGGGCCGCCCGACGCGACGAATTTTGTCAAGCCGCCGTTGGCCCCGATCCGCGACGACAATGCGATAGATCCTCAAGCCGAACCCACCCCCGCACCATGCGCCCTCGACGAAACATCTCGGCAGCCGAAGAAAGTCAATGTCTCGCCTCGATCATCGCGCTCCGTGTCTCGCAAAAAAGCCAAGATGGACGTGTCACAGCAGTCGCCGACTCAAGATAACGACGAACGAGATTACCAGAACTACTACGATGGCCCGTCCTTCGTCGAGACGAGCCCCATCTCACAAGACGCCGTGACCCAGAGTTGTCCTCCCCACGACGAAGACTCGGGCCCTGTGAACTTTGGCAACCTCAGCCACCTGATACAGGAGGAGACACAGCCGGAGGAAGAACCTTCATCGATACCCGACGAGGTCAATCTGGCTACGGGCCGAGGAGCCTGGCGCAGGTCCAGCTCCCAACAACACTCCTCCGTCCAACGAACCGATAACGACTCTCCTCTGCCCAACACAGCACAGCCGCCACAGACACCGGCCAATAACCCCTTCGCGGGCATTAAGAAGCTCGGCGACCCTGCTTTGGTAGGATCGCAATTGTTTGGCCAAACCCAGTTTTCGTCAGCCGTCAAGCGATTTAGCCCTACCTCTTCGAGACCGTCTCCGCACGTGTACGCTCATAACTCCATCTCGCCAAACGTCGCTGAGACGTCACCGCTTAAGAATCGGTATAACATAGCGTCTTCTATTCCTCCGTCGAGCCCGCAGATTACTAGGACTGAGTCGCCGGGTCGTCAGGAACGCAGTCCAAGTGTTGGTCAACCCGATGATGGCACGGTACCCGAATCACCACAGTACGCACCCGCCAACACTCGAGTGCGACCGGAACCCCTAACAAAATACGAGAGCGTGAAGGAGCCGCAAAGAAGAAGGCTCAGCACCGAAGCCAAGGACGTGATGTCTGGGGAAGATACGGATGATTTTGGAGATGATTTGGACGATGCCTTGAGACGCAGAAGACTCGTTGCACAGAAGCAAGAGGCAGCGTCGAAACAGCTTGCCAACATCAGTGTTGGACGTCGCAGTGAGCGCCGTTCCGTCGAGGTGCCTTCAACGACTAAGAGACCAAGAACCACTCGGACAGGACGTTATCGTGCACGTCGTGTTGCGACTACATCAGACGACGAAGTTGACGAGTTTACTGTTGCTGATTCTCAGGGACAAGAGGCCCAGCGGCCGCGTTCGCGGGCATCGCCTGATCTTGGGAACGGCAAAGCGGCAATCGTGTCGAGTAACGAAAAAGTCCCTGACAGTACAGGCGCTACCCAGAAGTCAAACACTGCTGGCGCAGCCCCGGAGACGGAGAGTTCGGGCAACAGCTCGCGCCCCAAGGACGTTATTCCCGAGACGAGCCCTACCAACACGCAGTCGCATCCTGGGCCTGTGGTTGTAGCATCATCTGACCAGCCCTTGGCGAAACGCCATGCTGAGCCTGTCGAGGAACCGGAAGTCCCTGCGGAAACCGACAGTCAAGACAGAGGAGCGCCCGAAGAGGTCGAGAGAAACGCGGAAGAGGTTGTGGCAGACGTTGAGCCAGCCAAAGAGCCCGACACCGAGCTATCAGAGCCTGCGCCTGTGCAACCTTCGCGCAGGTCTGGCCGCAAACCCCGACCAACACCAAAGGCTCAATCATTGAAGAGCACAGCACGTGCAGGTGCATCTGTGGAGTCTACTAACACTGAGGGTCGCGAGGGTCGCAACTCGGGAGAAGGCACTGCTCAGCATGCAATAGTTCCTGCCGAGGAGCTGATTATGGAGCAAGACGCAGTCACTAAGGAGGAGGCACCTGCCCCAGCAGATGCCCTCGCTGTTGAGGACCAACCCGCCCTTCCGTCTTCCCCTCCCATTCCCAAGACTCGGTCCAAGAACAAGACGTCTCTAGCCATTATTAGCCAGAACAAACCAACAGAGAAAACTCCCGCAACGCCAGATACCCATCAATCACCGACTGCTGCTGAGCCTCCCGGGTCAACCTCGACGTTGAGCGATCTCACAGCCACACCCGCACCATCGGACAAGACGTCTCCGGCTACCCAAGAATCCGTCGAGCTTCCGCCGCTTTCCCCCGAAAAGCCGACACGTGGACGCCAGCCCGCAAAGTCCTTGTCGAGAGTCGCCACTGGATCACGCGTGGCCAAGCCCAGCACTCGAAGGCAGAGCCGCAGGAGCACGCGTCTTGATAGTGCCTCGACCGACGAGCTGACCCGGTCACCTTCTGTTACGGGCTTCGAGAATAGTATCATCCAACCCCTGAAGCAAAGCGCACGCGGCAGCCGTCTCTCCATGTTGTCTTATACCTCCAAAGATGGCAGCGGTGCCAAGATCTTCGCTGGCATGGCCTTTGCTGTATCATTTCAGTCGAAAAAGGATGGAGAGAAGCCTGATCAGTACGAGCACCGCCTGGGACAGAGTCGTGATATTGAAAAGATGATTGCACAAGCCGGTGGACATCTGCTTACCAACGGCTTCGACGAGCTGTTCGAGGCAAACGCGTTGAAGAGCAGGTCAACCAGTCCGGCGTCAGACGGAACAGAAGTAACCCCTCTGACCTTGACACCCTGGGCACAGTCGCTCGGCTTCACAGCCTTGATTGCAGATGGCCACTCTCGAAAGGTTAAGTACATGCAAGCTCTTGCCCTGGGACTACCTTGCATTTCGGATCGATGGGTAGCCACCTGCGTGGCGAAGGGAACAGTGGTAGATTGGCTGCCATACCTTCTTTGTGCAGGACAGTCAACCTTCCTTCGAGATGCCATCCGCTCTCGCTCCCTGGCACCCTACTCGGCCACCGAGGCACGACTTGGCGATGTCGTCGAACGCAGGCCAAAGATGTTGGAGGGAAGCAAGATCCTCCTGGTGATGAAGAAGTCTAGGGCGGAGGATAAGAAGATGCCGTACGTGTTCCTAGCACATGTCTTGGGTGCTACGCTGTCGCGAGTCTACAATCTCGACGAAGCAAAGGAGACGCTCAAGCAACGAGAAGGGCTGGACGACCCTTTCGACTGGGTCTACGTCGACGAGCATACCGGAACCGAAGAGGGGCTTTTCAGCTCCGCTGCCCCCAACACAAAGCCCTCAAAGAAGAGAAAGAGGCCAGCTGCCCCCGTCAAGGACGAGGCAGACCGAGCCCCGAAGCGAATCAGAACTTTGAGCGACGAGCTGGTCATCCAGAGCCTCATCCTCGGAAGGATGATTGAGGAAGGCGAGCTCGATGCGTGAGCTCTGAAATGGAAAAATTGTACGAATACTGTGTATATGGAAATCAAAGGGAGACAATAGGAACTGTCAAGTAGCATCATTATGGCGTTGGGCGGAGGACAATGGGATGATACCTTTCGGGTGGGTAGGCGGTCTCGGACTAGACGATACGAGAGCACGTGTACTGCAGGCATGAATCAAGAAAGGCGAGAAGCTATTGCATACTTGGAGTTTCGTCCTGCTGTGCTTTTGCGTTTACGGGCTGCCCATGGACTCCTCAGGGTTTGGTCGTTCAGGTCCGCAACCTCTATTCTCTGACTTCCATGTCTGTCCCGAATTTCCCCTTTATTTCTGGTTGCCTGTTGTTGGTGCCGTCTCCGATATTATGTTGGGCCGTCCATGCCCTCCCTCAATGGAGGAACATGTATGGCTTCCCCCCCGCAATCCCCGCCACGACCTGAAAGCAGCAACTTACTTTTGAATGTATTCGGATTTTGCGCCACCAGCCAACGGGTTGCCCAGCCATGAGTAGCACCGTAGATGGCTCTATCCCGTATGTCTCGTCGTCAAGTGTATAAAGCCCCACGCCTGCCAAGAAGTTCGTCCTGTTTCTTCTTCTTTTTTTTCTTCGTCCGCTGTCAATCAAAGATTTTCGCTTCGCTGTTTCGCTTTTTCGCCGCTTTTTTGCTTTCTTGCTTTTATACACGCTACCACCGCTACCAATACATCACCACATACAGAAGTCACGATGTCTCCCACTGCTCCTTCCCGCGCCACTCCCGCCCCCCGCCCCTTCTTCAAATTGGGAAATCTCAACGTAAAGAGCGCCATTCGGGTCGAGACCCGCCTCAAGACGGCAGGCACGAATGGTGCTCTGGGCAAGCGCTCAACAGCTCCTTCCCGCCCTCCCCTCAAGCCCGCCCCGGCTCGCGTCGACAAGAAGGCGCGGGTCGGCCAGGCGGGACGCAAGAATTTGAGCAACCTGCCTCGCAATAAGTCGGGCAGGGCCCGCAAGGATCCGAAGATCCTCGCCAACCATGGCGACCGCGCGGGCTTCATGCCCATCGCGCAGATGGCAGTGCCACCAACTTCTCCTCCCGGCCGTCCCTTCCTCCCCTCTCCCTCGCTCTCTCCTCCTCCTCCTGCTCTTTCCCAGGAGCACCGCCCCCCTGCTCCTTCTACTGTAGGCACGGTGATCAGGAAGAGGAAGGCGCCTCCCACGATGCTCCTTCCCATGAGAAGGCCCAAGCCTTACTCCAGATAAGGGGAGGCGCCTTCCTGCCTTCCTTCCTTTAATTCTTCAGCAAGGGATCGAATAAGCACTCGAGAGTGCGACAAGGACGACGGACGACGACGAGGACAGCGATGACGAGGACGACGATAACCACCAGCGGTGCTTTTTTACAGCGAATATCATTACCTAGCGTTGCTTTTCTTCACTCTTTTTTCACACTCGTTTTTTTTCACACTCTTTTTAACCCAGCGAGTTTTCTTTTTTTTTCAGCAACATCAGCGACAAGCGGACTTGGGTTTTCCCCTCGCGGGGTGTTTTGCTTTTTTTTCTTTTTTTTTTTTTTTCTCAATATATCACCAGCGGGAATACTTCCCAACCCAAAACTATTTCTGTGCCTTCCGTGATGTGTGATGTGTGAATCTTCCCCTGACTGGGTGTGATCTCTGGCTGTTTGTGACTGTTGTCACCCTGCTTTCCCATCCTGCTTCCCCGTCCTACGTCTCGTTTCTGGTCTTCGTCTCTGCCTGCCATCTCTGCCTCCTGTCTCTGTTCCCCGTCTCCGCCCATATCTTCGTCCCCTACCTGTATCCATCCTGTTAGCCATGCGACTCTGCTCTTTGCCTCTGCCTATCATCACTGTTGATATTCCTATCGCTATCTCTAGCTCCTGTATTTAGCTTCTGTCTCTGGCTCCTGTCTGTATCTCTGGCTCACGTTGCTGGCCCCTGTTCCCGCCCACATCACATTCGCCATCTCTGCTTCCCACTTCTCCTGGCCGCTCCTGCTCTGCCTCACTTCCTCATTATCAAATAGATCTCTACCTGCACCTTGACCAGCATCTAAAATAGCGTATTTACACATTGAAAAATGCATGAACCTCTGTCCATAGTCTAAGCTAATGGTGGTAGTACTTCTTTCACACCTGGCTTACACACATGATTGGAACCAGAGGGGGGGAGAGTGGGGAGAAGAAAGACGACCACATAGGGATATTACACGAGTTCATGATATCAGGCTAATACACACTTCTCCTGACTTGAAATATCCCTCTGAGAATAACCAGGCTTGAACTCCTACACACCGATGACACTTATCCCTGGGAGTGAGGGAACGGCATGTACCCCTAGATGAAGAACTATGGATAGGTTTTCATCTGGACAGAGAGGTTCGTGAATATATGTCAAAAAACAGCAGAGAGGTCATAAGGCGGACAAAGGTTAAAGTTAAGAAAAAAGAAAAACAAAAAAGAAAGGAACTACCTTTTTCGTGGCCCTTTTGTGATTTGTGTGACCGCCCCCTTCATAGTCACCAGAGCATCTATTGAGGAGAATTTGTTTGGCCGTCGCTTTTACTAGCTGGACCATTTGGCCCAGTCGAACTGGTTGAAGGTGACTGATTGAAAGTCGGCCAAGTACCTGGATGGGCTTGGTTGAAGACTTGGGCACCACGCGAAGTGAGTTGCGATGTGGGAAGCAGCTACCAAAGCAAAGGGTTTCAGCGACACAACTTCAGTCGGCAGTTCTCCCCGCAACCACATGAACTATTAGCCTCTTCATCCTTCAGTCGGGGGCGAGGCTTAGGGAGTGCCGAGTGGCGTGTTCCGAAAACGTTAACCTTGGTATATGACCAAGACTCCTCCCGGCGCCACACTGTTCTGAATTTTATTTAGAAGCATACATAGTAGTTTTTTTCCCGTCAATTACAAGCGGCATTTGGCGAGGGAAAACAGGTGAATTTGCTCTTGGGAAATCCCACTAAGGTCTTCGAAGTCTTTAAGTCTTACCATCATCTCATGCCAACATCTTTTTGAGGGAAAATGAGGGAGCTTGCGGTTGCCGAGTCAATCAATGACCTGCATGAATTGCTTCTTTCACAAAGCCAGTAACTTTGGAATTATCTGTAAAAGCTAGCTGTGGATTAAATAGCCAAACTTCAACGGGCTACATGTATCAGCCATCAAAAACATACATCTAGACTTCTTTATCAGAATGCCAATCACCAGGTACCCATCAGTATAGGTCCTAGCCAACAAAATGTTTGACCCTAACGCCTGGGAGCAGTCGAGTGCCAGACACTAACTTTTGAACAGATACTTGAAGAATGTTGGGATCTTCCAGAAGGCTCATGAAGCTGGAGCTAGAATGAAGAAGGAGCACACTGTCGTGAAGCGGTGGCCGTCCACTCTGTTTCTTCGACCTGGCGAGCCCGGTGCCAAGGAGCAGTTCGACCGCAAGGTCGGTGGAGGTCTTTCGAGCTTGATCGGGTACCTCGAGTGGCAGAGATTCTGAGGATTGGAAGGAGTGGCGGGGAAGTTGGAATTGGAAAAGCATGAGGCATCGCTTGTATTGTGTACTTGAATTTGGAGGCAATCCGTCCTCCTTGGTGCGGGTCTGAGCTTGGCCCTAGCAGACACCGCCACGGCAAATTGATGATCTTCAGGCAAACACCCGAATTACCTCCTGCGTGAACGCGGTCATTTTCAACACTTCTCTAAAACACCTACAATCCAGTCCAATGCCTCCTTACTCGCTTTCAGCCCATACCTAAATGTCAACGGGAAACAATGCATCTGCCCATGCCATGATAGCCACTCTCCCGTCACCCCATTCTCTTTACACTTGTTTCTGAATGCTATAGCTTCAGGTTCTAACACATCGTAAGAACCAGTCAACCCGTGAACCTTGACCCCGTGGCGAACAAGGTACGTGAGATCAGCCTGAATAGGAGAAACTCGAGGATCCTCAAAGCTCCAGTCTAATCGGCCTGATGATGGCTTTTCCTGCGAACTGCCACCGTCGTTGACAGGACCAGGGCACCACGTCTTTGCGGTCTCGTGGATACACCCGTGGGTGTGTATGGGATCAAATCTGTCTGCCTTCTTGATCTCTTTCATCTCATGTCGTAGATCTGTAGTTGGACTCATTGCGAGGATGGCGACTGGGGGATTGGCAACATCTCTCTCCTGGACCCTCAACGTCCACGTCACCACACAGAGGGCGATATTCCCGCCTGAACTGTCCCCAGCCACGATAACCCTTTCGCCAGCCTTTGTCGACTCCATCAGTAGCTTCTTGTAGACTCTCTCAATTTGAGGGAAGGCCACTGATACCGGGTGCTTCGGCGCCAAGGGATATGAGATGATCGTGACCCTTGTGTCGGGTAAGCGGCGAACTAGCTCGGCGCAAAAGGCCCAGTGGTGTTCGCTCGGGGGCATCTGCCATCCTCCACCCCCGAAGTAAAGAATTCGTCGCTTGTAACCTGCCCTGGCACCTCCCTTTCTTTCTGTTGAGGTTTTTGTTGTTATGTCGTAAGTCCAGACTCCTTCTACTTCGCTCTCCCTGACGTCGCAGTATCTTCGCGCCCTCTTTGTCGCGGTCAATCGCGTCTTCTCATCTGATCCCTTCTTAGGCTTCATCAATCGGGGTTTGAGAGGTTTCAAGACTGCCTGCACGACTTGAGTGAGAAAGTATCGCTCATTTCGCTCAGTCACGGTGAGGCCGGCTGGGCGGCCGTCATTGATAGCCTCATTATGGTTGGTGGATTGGTCGTCTGATGTTGAGGTTTCCATGATGAGGACTTCAGACTGTGGATTCAATCAGGAGATCCAACGTTGCCGGTGAATTTAGGAAGCGGATTCAACTGAGGCCGGAAATATTTAGAATTAACGGCGAGGAATGTTAGTCGTTTTGTTATATCACGCTTGGCTCTGATCCACGACGTCATTAGCTCTGGGCGCCTTGACGTCATTCGTGAGACCTTCAATCCAACACCAATGCTGGAGGCGCCATGAAGCCATTTCAGATATTTACCAACGTAGAGTAAATATAATTCGTTCGTGTATATGTCTATTTCTCGCACGAAGTATCATCTATACAACATATCTCTCGCAGCATATCATGAGTAAGTACCAATGAAATAAGAGGCGAACGTCACACTAGACACATTCCACGGCTTTTTCGACCTTATCTTGAGTAGCATGATGGATAAAAGATCTGGTTTGGTGTATTAATATCATCAATGAGAGTATGATTGAGGCCGAATAGCCTCTAGTACTGCAGATTGCCTCCCCAAACTAAAACCTTCTTATTTGACACCATGTTGAATGAGCCAATGCTGTGCAATATGTTCTCTTCTTTACTTTGAATTCAGGCCGGATTGATTCGGCAAAGATACCTCAATGAATTCTGACCTCTTCACCAGTTGATCCAATGAACTTTCCAGGCAAATAACCGGCCCCTACACGTTCGTAGATCAAGTGCCCATCCTTGTCTCTCTTGTTCGTTGACGCCACAATCAAGAGGTAATGATCTCTCATGTTGTTCGTGTTGTCTCCCAACGGAGCGATCGCCTTCTGCTTTCCTAAGACAACGCACTTTGTTGAAGGCTGATGGGAATCACCAGGGCGGTCGAAAATGATTTCACCTTGCCCATCGCGAAGGTTGAGAAGGTTGTAGTCTCTGGCTTCGGCAACCAGAGCCACGTCTCCGCCGCGATCATCTGTCTGTATCTTGCTTTCGAAACCTCCAGTCGCTTTGGACCAAGGCGACCTCATCTTTTCCCAATCTACGCCACCAAAAGACGGACTTATGTAGTCGATCCCGCCTTTGCATGCCATCCACGACCATGAGGGTACCTTCGCGATGGGATGGTCCTTGGGAAATTTGATGCGGTCTAAAGTAGGAGTACCAGCTCCACGGCGCCATAGTAAGCTTCGGCGAAGTAAACCCCGATTTTGGCCATCTTTGTCTCCCTCGTCGAAGATACCAAAGCCCCCTTGAACTCTGAGTGTATTAAGGAGCCTGTCCTGTAGGCCGTCGATTGCCATCGTTCGATCATGATCCTTCGAAAGACCGAGTCGAGAATATGTGCTGTAGAGATCCTGGTATCGAAGAATTCTTTCTCCTTGGTCAGCCTTCATTATTACTTTTGGGAAGTCTGGATCCCCGAGGAATGTGGCCAGTTCACTAATGTTAGACTATTAGTAAGTGAGGCCCTCCGAGAAATAATGTAGTAGTATGGGACGGGGGGTTCGTACTTGGTCATCTTCGTCATTGTTTCGCAGCGAACACCTTCCCCACACTCAAAGTATGTCTGATGATCAGTGAAATATACCGTTCGACGCGCGAGTGCATGTTCCTGCAGTACCCATCCTCTTTTGTTCAATGACCCGTCCAGAACGTGAGATCCAAAGTTGTCAATGATCTCGGAGATATGAAATGGCGCCGGTTTCCCATGTTGTCGCATGACAACAGTATGTCTCTGGTTTCTCTTCTGCAAAAATCCAGCGTAGTGTCCTGGAGATCTGCTCGACGCCAGGACGCAATACGCACCACTGTAGACTTGCTCCATGTTCTTAGCCTCTTGGTTAAAGTCGCCACCTTCGCCTTGTATGATGCAAATCGAATCGATCCAAAGGTACGGCCGCCCAAGAGCACGAGTCACCGTGACTGCGTGTTTGAAAGTAGCAGGTAGCAATTCGAAATCCATACCGTCAATGTGTGCCTTCAGATTAGCCGTGGTGGTGCAGAATTGACTCCCGTTGCCCCATTGATGAGAAAGTGCGATCCATTCCCCACGATCTTGAGGTTTTGACTGTCTAGTCTCCAGAAGATGCACAGTTTTGTCTCCTGGCTTTCCCACAGCAATGACTCGTGTGGGCAAGTAGTCCCGTCGCAATGCAACGTTCGGGTTCTCACAATCGGATGTGTTTCTCGAGATATTCCGTTGGCAGTTTCTATGCTGGACGTCACACGTATCCAGCCAGTGTCGTATGATCTCAAAGTATGCCTGGCTACCAGCCTCAAAAAGATCTGGATATCCAATCTGAATATCGGCATCGATTCTTGTCATCATGCCTAGTTCAAAACGTTAGATACCCCATTCTTTCTGCACCAAAGGGTAAAACCCTCTACATAAGTCGGATTCACCGAGGCTTCTGGAGATCGAAAGAACTGGCGGCCCTATGCCATTCATCTTCAGGAACGTTCCGATCCTTTCAAATGTTACAGTTGACAGCTTAACCGTGGCTCGTTGGTAGGCTTTCCAAAACAGTTGACAGAGATGGCAAGAGTTCTTTGCTGATGTCTCTAATTCATCGGCTTCGTAGGTAACGCTGAATGCTGGCTGCCAGAGATTCTCGGATACTTTTTGACAGTCTCCACAAATGTCTGAAAGAGGTGGATCGTGAAGCTTCAGCAAATCCTTGGAGCGAATAGAATTCAGAGCAAGCTCAGCAAATTTGTTGTCGACTTCAAGATTCCAATCCGTACCAAGCTTTAGCAGCCAACGTTAGAAGCGATTGAGATATTTCGATTGACAGGTGAGTACGTACTTGCTATTGGAGAAGCATGTCGTAAGAAACACGTCTAAACTGGCACCTGGCCTGGTGTTATTCCCACTTACAGTCTACCATAGTTTAGCAATGACGTGTCAATCTGCTTCGCGAGCATTTTACGAAACCCGCATGAATTCAGATTGCTTACATGCTATCATAGATGGCAGTCAGCATGGATTCTGGCTATCGCTGTGGACCTTGGGAAGTATGCTTACTCCCTATTACGAGTGTGATGTATTTTTAGTGAAGTGCAGCATGGAAGGACAGCTGGATTGACGACACCTACATACTGTGAACAGTTTGCAAAGTTCAGATTGGAGTTCACGAGCTACTTACGTCCTGAGAGGGATAATCAGCATGATGTAACCGGATGTAAATGAACATGAGGCAAAGAACGTACAACCTAGGAATCGAACTTGCTGTTAGTCAATGAACAACCTTGATCGTCAATACTGGAGGAGAGAGGTCTTAGACCTACTTGTTTTGCTCGCGGTGCAACCAAGCTTGCAGTACGCTGTTCAGCTCGGGAAAATTGTCCATCTTTTCTTACTTTGGCTCCCGAGTCCGCCGATCGATATGTGTCACCTTGCTTAACGATTCGGACAATATCGTCAAGGAAAGGGCCACGTGGAAGATTAGGGAGACCTGTAAACCAGTAGCTATCATCCTCATCCTCACCGTCTATTTCCAGCATAGAGTCATAGAACTGATTTGAGCGTGCGCGTTCCTTGCCACCTTTGGAGAATGCTCTGTTAGTACCCGGATCGATTTCCTGCTTTTTTCCAGTCTCCTTGGCTTCTGGACCACTGACGACAATATCAGGGGGTTCTAGTGCAACGACGTGTTGGGCCTCCGTCGCGTTCGCTGGCGAATCAGCCAATTTGTTGACCATTGACTCGCGAACGACGTCCTGCTGCGGTGCCATGGTGTCATCCGAAGTGATTGCTGATGTCCCGAGTCGCTCGGGAAGCTTGACAACAAGGAGCCGAGTCTGAACAACTTCGAGGAGGCTACCCAGAGCAGTTTGGCCCACTTTGAAGATGGGATCTTTTGCCATGTGATCCATCCATCGCACAGCAACATCGTGGACTGTAGCTATGAGCTGGTTGCTCGAATCACGCTTGACTTGGTAGAAGCGCGGGGCATCGGGGTTACTGAGATAGATTCTGGCGTTGAACTCTTGCAATTGTTCGAGGCCATAGACCAGCCAGATCAAGAACTCCAGCGTGATACAACCCATGGCCCAAATGTCGTAAAGTCGAGACCTCTTCTTTCCGGACTGTCCCGGTACCAACAGTTTCGCTCCCTGGCTAGCAGCTTCCTCTGGTGGCTCATAGGCGCGAGTACCCCACCTAGTGGTGGTCTTGTTGCTTCGCAGCTCGGTGACGAATCGGTGTTGCTTTGCAAGACCCCAGTCCCCGATCTTGAGCAAGCCAATCCCATCAACATCACCGCCGTCCTTGAACCAAAGGATGTTCTCTGGCTTCAAGTCGCCATGTCGAAAGTTTAAGCCGGAGGTAGACACAGGATAATGTGCTTTGCTGATTGCTTCGGCTAGTCCCAGAATCTGGCGCAGTGTTGCCTTTGTCAAATCCCCTGTCAAAGTTGGACGATCAAACTTTCGCCAAAAGTCCCGAAGATTCCCACCGTTTGCCCATTCCATCATCAGAAAGTGCTCCTCTTGTCCCGGGGGTCCTCGTCGGAAGGCCGTGAGAAACCGAACAATGTGGGGTTGGTTCAGTTGATTCATCTTCTGCAGGATGTCTGCTTCCCTCTCCCAGCTATGCACCATCTTTTGCCGGTCGGCTTCCTCGTCATTGATTCTTTTCACAGCGACATACTTGGGGCAGCGAAAATTCTATGCGACTCAATTATTTCAAATGCTCAATATGGCTCTGTATAGCGACAGGCGATATACGTACTTTATCATTCGAATCGATGAGATGCGATGGATGATGTGCGTATCCTGATACTTGTCCGAACGCTCCGACTCTACACTCCAGAATCTTGTCTGTGAAGGGTAGGACACAGTGAGGGCTCAGATCATGATTGAGCTTGCTGATGGAGAAGACAGGGGCCAGATATTGCCACTGTGCGCGACAGAAGAGGTCTATCCTGGCAGGAGACCATATTTCATCTTCGTAGTCTTCGATACAGGAAGACGTTCTGTCGGAATTGATGTGCTCCCCGGACCAGTATGTTGTATTTATGGGTAGATGCTGATCGGACATCTCTCGTTCCTGGCCTTGTCGCATTCCCTCTCTCAGCTCACTTCCAGGAAGTGCAAGCATTACAGCAATTGCGAAGATTATTTTGGCATGCTTGAGAATGTAATCTGCGAGCTGGTCGTCTGAAATTAGCTTAGGGCCTTCGTTCCTCCATTGCCGTCCTCTCAGAAAGGTGTTGAGAATTGAGTCCTTGGTGACGAGCTCTTCAATTGACCCTTGTGACAAGAAGCGATGTTGAGAGTCAAATGCACTGTTTATGAAAGTGTCGAGAATCCTGTCTGAAAGGGTTTCAGTCGGGCGGTCGCGGCTCGCAGCCTTAGGGCTTGATGGTGCCATGATGGCCAAGCAAAGACATATCGCGGTCTTCAGGTGTGGTAGAACACGATTGAACACCACGGCTGCGAAGAGAGCATAAGCAATCGAGGAAAAGATCATGAGCTTCTTGGGTCTCAAAAAGAATGTCGAGAGCGATGCTGTTGTGGGGGTTACGGACACATTAGCACAGCGTGAGGCTCTGGAATTCTCAGAATCGTTCCGTGGGCGATTCTCGCACTTTTGTCATCACACTCAGCCGCCATGCTATCACAGCCTCTTGAATACGAACGATTTGGTGACCAGACTTGATTCAAAGATACCACCTTTTCATGTAAGTCTTAGGTGATCAGAGCACGTAGAATGTCACACTGCAGGCACTCGGAAGCAGGCTACGGCTTGAATTTACGCCTTTCCTATCAACTTCGTTATCATGCCGCAGATCATTCATGTGGCGTTGGTTTCAACGACCCGTTTCTATCAGCTGAAGGGGTCTATTGGTAAATTGCATGCCGGCCTAGACCGGACTTAGCCAACCGGCAGCCTCCTCTGAATACCAAGCCAAGCCTTCTCCTCAGGTGACATGCATGAGCCAGCTGCAACCCATCGACGATCCGACAGAATCCACATAATTATTGCGCCATGAACTCCTAGTATGTGATGCACCATACCATACGTAGGCAGGATGAACTGCTTGTGTTCCATGCCCAGATGCTACCTGCATTTGGCTATTTCAACCTGAGGGCCCCAAAGTCTCAGCGTGTATTCAAGATGAAGAGCAGAGAAACGAGAATGAAAGAAAGTCTTTAACTTACATCTGTAAGATGTCTTTTGGCCCTGATGCTATAAGTATTGTGTATTAACTATGATTTGTCAGTAGGCATGACTTCTGGCTGGAAACTGAGATCACTAACGTCAACATCGAAAGGATCGGTTTTGAAGGCTTCTTTTAACATGTTTGCGAGTTTCTGAGGATCTACATCACTGACAGATATATTTTGAGGAGGCAAAGACTTCTTTGAAGCACGCGAGAAAGGATTCCTCAGTGTCATGATGTGATGAAATCTGATGGATAACAGAAGAGCATAAGAAGAATCTGGCACAGACAAGCCCAAATGATCGATGACGGTGAAAAGACGGTAACATAACTCGATATTCAATTGAAAGCTAAGAGTCTTCGAAGCCTTTCTTGTATGTTGCGATAGATACCCCCAAAATCATTCTATTTTGAAATCTGCCCACCCGCTCGATTAGGATCATGATCAGGCTGGTCGGAAATTGAGACATGGGGCTGACAAGTGTACATCTTACTGATGCACCCCCTCGACAGAAATTGACTCTTGCAGCTTTTTATTGGCCAGGTCTGCCATGGGCGGATTGGAATTTCAGCCAGAAGGCCCTCCAGCATTTCTGAGGGTGTGAGGGGATTAGGTTGGAGATGGTGTGTAGGGCAGGCTGTACATTCCCATTAGATACAGTGCCGCGGGTACGCGGAATGCCACACTTTCTGGAGGCCTCAAAAGTCCCAGATGAGGCAGTAAATTGTTTCGCATTGCCTCCCGATGGTCAGGTCAGCCCTTGACGCCCTAGCATGCGTCGGCAATTCTGTACAGTACTTTTCCCCCAAGCTGGATTTACAGATATACTCCCCCTTGCCCAAGCCTTTTTCTACTTTCACCGCCAACCAGACGTCTGCATGCGGCCATTCCAACGCCGACGAAAGCCACATCGTAGCGCAAGCAGACAGTCATGTCTGACATTCAGAGAGCCCAAAACGTCGCACCCGAGCCAACGGGGACTACCAGACATGATGCAGCTCATCCGAGATCGACTAACTTATCAAGATGGAGCTATTTACAACTGGTCCGGATAGTCAGCGGCATTCCTACGGCGACAGAGAACACAGCTCAAAGCCCAGGTGACAAAGTTGGAGTTACACTTTCAAGCTCATCAAACCCAAGGTATACCTATTCCGGGCATGTTCTCGTTGACAACCAGGATGGGTTCTTCGCGTCATTCCAACGTTCTAGGGTGAAGTCAAACCGTGGCGGGAACTGGACGGCAGTAAGTCACCAAACAATCCATGAAAGAAGAGTTCAAACAACAAGCTAAAATTGTTTTCAGCAGTGCGACTCTGAATGTTCCTCCCCAACCTCTCCATTCAAACACCGGTTTATCGAGATTCGGGATGTGGTCGAGTCATCAGTGGCCAAAACACGTCACAGGATCCGAGCCAGGAGAGATTCGATTGTTTCGACAGTGCCGAGGGATGGTGCTTTCTCTCAAGATCATGAAGGAAGATGCCACACGAACCTTTCGGCCTACGATTTCGATTGTCCACCACTACATCATAAGCTCTACCGAGAGATCAGGAACAATCGTTTCGACAACAACAAGACCGGTTTCCTTCCCCAGAAGCAGCTTGTGACACTCTTGTCCACAGATGTCGTGGCCAATGAGCTGAAGAGAAGCGACTCCTTCCTCGGGAGGAATCACAAGAAACTGGGGCGTCTTAGATTTCCTTTCCACAGCCATACTGGAGACCGAGGAGATGGTATACGCCAACAGGCGTGCAGAATTCACGGCATCTTCCCAGCACCTTCATCTCCCAGACGCGAGGAAACCACGGATCATGATTTGAATGTATCTCGCCAAGGAGCCCCAAAGTCTTATCTAAAGATCCTCGCCATCCTGATTCTCATCGAGAGGCCGGCTAGGATCAAGTTGTTTGTCGATGCGGGTGTATCAGACGATGATCTTCCCCTCGTCAAACAGCCTCCTGAAGGTCGTTTTGCACTCCGTCGAAGACACCTCCTTGATGACCCATTAAAATGCTTCGAAGAGTGGTCTGATACTTCGATTGCCAGGTTCGAAGAGTGGCAATGGGCGTTTCTTGCGCCTGTCTTCGAGTCTCCACAAAAAAGGATTGTTCCTCATCGACAATTTGGCCCAGACACGGTTTTACCTTTCAGATTTGCAACGAAACAAAAGGCTAGGACAGGAGGATTCGGGACCGTTCGCAAAGTGGCTATTCATCACCTCCATCGCAGATTCAAGAACGAAGATGTAGGTCTCTCCAACTAAAAACAGTCAATGATTTCGGTCATTCCGATTTAGCCGATCATTTGTACATTTCAACGTGCTTCCACGCTGACTCGCTCACAGCCTGATAACTGGTACTTTGCCGTCAAAACGTTGAAGAATAATCAATCCGAGGCCGACTTCAAAAGAGAAGTAGCAACATTGCGAAGGCTGAGTGGGAACGTCCATGACCATCTCATCTCCCTTCTGGGAACTTATGAAAAGGATGGCGCGTTTCATCTCATTTTCCCTTGGGCGGAAGCTGATCTCTTTGACTTCTGGAAGCAGAATCAAAATAATCCCGCTCCTCCTCGTGACCAAAAGTCTTCAAACGAGACCCTAACTTGGGTTGCTCGACAATGTCTGGGCCTGGCAGAAGGACTGGCATTCATTCACCGTTACGAAACCTCTTCAGGAAGGACCTTGCGACACCCAACTTCGTTCCCTATCCAACAGGCTGACAACAACATGACCTCTACGTCAAACACACCTCAAAAGCTCCTGAGTCTTTTTGGACGTCATGGCGATATAAAACCCGAGAACATTCTTTGGTTTCCTGACGCCAAACCCTCCAGTCGCGAAGGAACGCCTGGAGATGGTATCCTGAAAATTTCCGACTTCGGGTTCGCGGAATTCAGCAGTAAAGAAATGGTTGATAAGGGCCGGCGTGGTTTTGTGGCCGAATCACTCACGTATTCACCGCCTGAAAGCGTACTTGACACCGAATTGGTCAGTCCATCATATGACATCTGGTCTCTTGGATGCGTCTATTTGGAGTTCATCACGTGGTTCCTTGGCGGATGGAAGCGTGTTGTTGAGTTCGGTAATTTGCGCCTAGAAAAAAGCCAGATTCCATCACCCTTTGACGGAGAAAATACTAGAGTCAGGACCGATGTTTTCTATGGCGTAACAATCGACAAGGAGGGGAAACGGGACGCCCACACCAAAGAGTCGGTGATCAAGGTACGAGATCTTGCCAGAACGCAAGATACATTCTAACGCAGTTTCAGTTCATCGGCAGATTAAAACAAGATTCAATCGATTGCCACTTTATTCCAGATTTTCTGGAGCTGATTGAAAAGAGCATGCTCGTAGTCGAGCGATCAACGAAGGATGCGACCGCCTCTCGCAAAAGTTCAAAGAACATTGGGCTTCTCATTGAGGAGATGTGGGGGACAGAGTCATCGTTTGAGAAGGATCTAAAGACTATTCCAGAATAGGTCTGTTCGCATGAGCAATTATGTAGTGTGCATTGGGATGTAATTATGAGGCTTGAAGAATACATTCCAGCCAAGTCTTCGCACTCGACATACCTAATGTTTGGGAATTTTGCCATTGCTGGAAGCAGTGTATCTTGGGAACTGCATTTAGCTATCACCAGGTCGAAAGGATCTGGCAGGATTCTGATCAGCAAATTCGGGGTTGTGGACACCACGATTGTAGCTTCAATATTGTAGATATTTGATCACGGCCAACAAGGTTGCGATGTCGCCGCATCGATACATGGATGTCCCTGTCCCAGAAGGGCATTCGATCACGATGGCAAGCATTCGCAAAAATTTGGCAGAGAATAAGGTTGAGCGAGCAAATTGCATGCTGTCTTCAACGATGACGCATCTGCCCCTATCCATCCCCGTCACTCCTCTTTTTATTCGCACGTTCCGCGACAAACGATCGCCATTGGTCCCGCGTCTCAAACCCTGTCATCCCCGACAACAGCCCCGCACCAACTCATCAACCGCCAAAGAGCAAGAAATGGACTTTATGCGTTGTTCTCCCAAGAAAATCCCATCGTCCAATCTTTTCGCCGCCTTCCTTCACGCTTGCTCCCGCCCCACGTCTCCTGGTCCCGCCACAACCTGCCAATTCCAAAAATGTCGTCGGCTAAGCCTGCCCCGGGAGACTTGGCAGCGCTGGCTGGGCGGGGTGTTCGCCACAGGCGA